AGGCTTACTGCGCCAGCGAATTCGGTGAGCGCGCGCACCCACCCTCCCGGGCACCCGCGCGCCGGAACCCACGCGGCCTGGTTGTAATGCTTTTCTCCAAACCCCGTTTTCCCGAAGCAGCCGTGAACGGAATCGTGCACGACGTGGACGTGCTGGGCGCGGGCATGCGGCTGGTGACTCTGCTGTTGGACCCCGACGGGCTGTACAAGATGAGCCGCCTGTACATCACTCCCGACGGCTTTTTCTTCCGCGTGCACATACTAGCCCTGGACCCTTCCAGTTGCCATAAGCCGTGTCCAGAATTTAAGCCTGGTATCGAAACTGACCCAAGAGACCAGCTCATACGTGCCATTTATTTATCTATCTATCTTCATTCATTCATTTGAGACAGGGTTTCTCTCTGTACCCCTGGCTGCCCTGGAACTGGCTTTGTAGATCACCCTGGTCTCGAACTCAGAGATCTGCCTGCCTCTGGCTGTTGGGGGACCTTAATGCTGCAGCCTGGCTTCCTTTGGTCGCCACACCCACCAATCCTCTCCCCAACTTCGCCCAAAGACTAAGAATTTAGCAGGGCCTCAAGCATGCCATCAGTTACACTCCCAGAATTTTTCTGAGACAGGCTGGCCTCGAACTCATGGCAATCCACCTGCTTCAACACATGCTGGGTTACTGGTAGGGCTCAATCCAGCTTTATGGGACACTAGTGTAACCAATAGAATTTCAGGTCTTCTCTTAAAAAGGTGAGAACAGCCGGGCATTGGTGGCGGGAGGCAGAGGCAGGCGGATCTCTGTGAATTCGATGCCAGCCTGGTCTCCAGAGCGAGTACCAGGATAGGCTCCAAAGCCACACAGAGAAACCCTGTCTCGGAAAAAAAACAAAAAAACAAAAAACAAAACATGCTAACACCGATTGACACAAAACACGATTGGTAGTGTACTCCTGCAACTCTAGCACCCAGAGGGATTTGGAGGCAGGAGGATCAGAACTTCAAGGTCATCCCCCACAAAGAGAGTTCAAGACCAGCTTTGACTAATATACATTCTCAAAAGAAACAACAAAAACATTGGGCATGGCACCTTGAGTGTCAGCACTCGGGAGGCGGAGGCTGGTGGATCTACAGGAGTTTGAGGCCAGCGTGGTACCAGGACAGCCAGTGCTACACAGAGAAACCCCATCTCAAAAACCCAACCCACTCACCCACCCAACACCCACCCAAATCAAAATCCTCAAAACATCCCAAACACTGATATGCTGACACGTAGATTCATGACAAAACACCATTTTCAAAAGTGTTGACTAAGGGGTTCTACTATACAGCACTAAGTTGAGAAAGGCCTTTTTGGGGTGGTGGCAGTGTTGGGGATACCTGTTCTCATGTCTTCCTAGAGGTGCCCTGGGGTAGACAGGGCTTTGTTCTGTATGTTGGCTGTCTGCAGGTTGTCTTCTCTATAGATTCCCCACCTGTTGCCTATGCACTACACAAGTTGCCACAGGAATAGCAAGATAAAGATTCGGGCTCAGGTTTCACTGTTTCCTGGCATTTAAATGACATCATTTCTCCCCTGGGTCTTTTGTTCAGGAAGCCGGTATATTGTGATGGGCCACATCTACCACAAACGACGGCAGCTCCCTACTGCTCTGCTCCAGGTCCTGAGAGGGCGACTGCGTCCAGGGGACGGACTGCTCAGGGGTAGCAGCAGCTATGTGAAAAGATTTAACCGAAAACGGGAGTGGCAAGTTCGAGGTGCCAGCCACACCCGGTGCATCTGAACAGACCAACTTGGCATTTGTGAATCCCAAGAGACTTGGAACTCGGCAGTAAGACACGGGAAGCCGGTCTTCATATAGCAGGGGTTCTTCTATTTGAAACTGGGTCCATAGCTTAAGAACTCCTTGTGCAGCTTAACTCCAAAGCTGCCACTTTTTTACAAAAGGCTGGCAAGGTGTGCTCTAAAGCACAGTGGGGTTGTTCCACAAAGCAGTAACAGTGTCCACATGCCCGGTCAACAGATCACACCACTTCATGTTGTTTTTTTTTAAGTTATTTTAATTTAATACATTTTTTCAGTAGATTTAGTTCACAAAACCTTCCTTGAATTTAAATATACAACTTTGAATAGTATCTATCATGTGTCAAGCCAGATTTTGTATTTAAAGCATCGAGTTTTAAATTGCACCCATGAGAGTAAACATTCCCATCAGGACTCATTTACATATGAAATATTGTTTAGATGAGACATTAGGGTCAGAGATCAGGCTAAGTAGGAAAATTATACATTTCAAGGGCTAATTCAAGCAAAACACCATTCAAAGTGTGTTCCTGATGTACTGTCCCTGGTACTGTCATGCCTCCTTGCTCCTAATAACCTGTTCTGTGTCAAATCGGCATCTATCCAGCACGTTTTCTGGTATATCTGGTGTCATTTTTCTGTTAAGAGCCAGTATCACCACTGTGTGTGCAGAGCAGTAAATCTTGCCTTGAAATCAGATCTTGGATGCACCTGGCTCCCCCCCTTCCCCCCCAACCCTGGAAGCATTGTTCATCAGTGCCAGTCCACAGGCTAGTTTAGTGGAGCTGTTTTGTTTGGTGTGAAAAACCTTCAATCACTAGCTCAGTTTAATTACTTTATACTCGAGTCTACAAGGACATACTGATTTTTCTTTTAGAGGATCAGGCTGTGTTTCAGTTAATTTCATAATAGACAAACCTTCAATCCCAGCCCTGGAGAGGCAGAGGCGGTGGGTATCTGTGACCAGCCAGAGCCACAGTGAGAATGGGATGCATAAACATGATGACTGTCAAAGGGAAGGTAGAGGAACACTGGAGAGTTGCCTGGGAAGCAAGCAGCAATAGCTTATGACACAATGTGTAACCAGATGTGGTTATGTGAGCCAGCAATCCCGTGCCTGGGAGTCTGAGAGATGTGTGTCAAGAGTTCAAGGCCAACCTGAGCTACGTAAAACCCTGTCTCACAAAAGAACATGATAATGCGGGAAGTATTGGACACCTTTAATCCCAGCACCGAAGAAGCACAGCCAAGTGGGTCTCTGTGAATTTGAGGCCAGCCTGGTCTACATAGTGAATTCCAGGATGACCAGGGATAGAGACCTGTCTGGGGAGGAAAAACAAAACAAAACAAAACAAAACAAAACACAACACTATGTGCAATATGGTATTGCCTCTTTGGCCTCAGACATGGGAAACATTAATAAAATAAAGCTGAGAGGTTCTACTTAGTGGCAAAGCATTACTAAGTGACTTTTTTGTTTGTTTCTTTTGATTTGAGAAAAGTCACACACAGCCTTGGCTGGTACTTCTATAGAGGCCAGATTGGCCCTATACTCGTGGGACAAAAAAAGGGCTTTGCAACTATATCACAAACTTTCAGCTGAAGGTCTTTTAGAGAATTTTCCAAAGATGACACATGTCCAAATTCATTAAGACTGTTTTGTTTTTGAATCCTAAGTGCGGTAGAGTAAGCCTATAATGTCAGCATTCAGGAGACAGAGGCAGGAGGATGATCAAGGTCATCCATCCTTGCCTCATTAAGTGTGAGGCCAGCCTGGGCTACAAGAGACTTTGGCCTCAAATGGGGAAGACAGGGCTTGAAAGATTGCAGTTAAGATCCTTGCTGCTTTTACAGAGGAATGGAGTCCAGATCAAGTGGCTATTAATTCCCTGTACCCCCAGGACATCTGGCCCCCTCAGGCACTTTCGTACACACTCTCCTACAGACACATATGTACACATAAAAACACCAATACCAGACCCCCAGGTCTTATAGACCTGTCCCTAACTTGGAGGTCAGGGTTATATAGTAACCCTGCACTTGTTGTAGAGACTGCCTGGATAAAAAGAAAGAAAAGCCACCCTTCAAGGCTGGGTCTGTGTCAGTGAGTGGTGGGCTGGACACTGGAAAAGGAGACAGAAAAGAACCCTGGAGATTCCAGGTTAGCAAAAAGGTTGGAAGAAATCATTTTCAACATTCACACAGGACCTTGGTTGCAATTTCTGACTTTATAGAAAAATCTAATGAGCAAATCATTGTCGTCTTGAATCCTTTTGTCCCACCGCCAGTACATGGCTCAATGCTCCAAGGACTGAAGGGCCCTTTGTGTCAATGTACACACACAACAGTCCTTTAGCAACAAAATACTCAGTTGCCTTCAACCAATTCAATAGCATCTGTCCTTCAAATTAAGCTGTTACTTCAAGGATTCAAGGAGGGGGAAAGGGCATGTTTTTCTTCTGTTAGAAAAAGGTCTATAAGACAGTCTCCTCCTTCCTCCTGCCTTTTGGTATGTGTGACACTAAGTTTTAAAAACTGCCTCTAAAATCTCATATGGCATTGTACAGTTCTCTTCTGAACTCATTTTTAAGGGGACCAGGCAAATGCCTGTGGCTGGCAGGCCACTCTCTCCACTTGTGCATGGTCTCTGTTAGTCTGAAAATACAGTATTAGTTGAAATTTGGTTTATGCTGGATCAAGGGGTGTGCTATGCTCAGCAATGTCTTTCACAGCATCTCATTTTATGTAACTAAATATTCTTCAAACTACACCAGATAACTAGAAACACTCCCAGCATCCTTGTTACCCCTATCCCCGCCCATGGACCAGTACTTAGCTCAGGAGAGAACAACACTCCCAAGTTCAAGACCCTGATGGGGATCTGCCTCCAGAGTCAACTCTAGGGCTGGAGAGATGGCTCAGCAGTTAAAAAAAATCACTGAACACTCCTGCAGAGGCCCTGGATTCATTTCCCAGCACCCACATAGCTCACAACCATAGTAAACTCCAGTTTCAAGAGATCCAATACCCTCTTCTGACCCCCATGGACATCAGGCACACATGTGGTGCACATACATACATGCAGGCAAAACACTCAGACACATGCCAATAACTTGAGCGCGCACACGCACACGCGCATGCGCGCGCATACACACACACACACACACACACACACACACACACACACACAGTATAAGTGTACAGCCACCAGGTTGGCTCTAACATCAGAAACGCCGAGAACTGAGATCTGACGCCGAGAACTGAGATCTGACGGGACACAAATGGACAGAGACAGGGAAAGAAGTTTTATTTGCAGATCTTAAGAGGAAAAGTTACAAACAGCAACACATTATCAGGGTCCCTACACAGCACTCCAGGCCACTCTAAAGAGAAAAAGGTCATCTTTACTGTAGAAACATCTCCAAAAGGTCACAATTTCGCTGATCTACTGTAGGACAGTAAATACAAACCCTGAAGAATTTGCACAGGAGAGAAAAGCCTCACAGGCATTATGAAAATATCTCTTATGAAATGGCCTCAAATTGTGAACTTGGAGATGAAGCACAGGAGATGCTAAAAATGCTTTTAGCCAAAGAAATCTATCAAAGCAAAGAACGTACAGGTTGTAGGCGCGAAGCCCAGGCAGAAACATCCTAACCATATCACCAATGCGCATCGGACCACTCAGGCTGCCGAAGCAAACAGCTTAATGTTTCTTTGAGCAGCAGAAGTTCCTCAAATCAGTAGAAAAGCAGCTTTTGAAATAAGAATGTACGTTTTTCAAAAATTCCTCTTGAAAGACTAAAGCTCTATAGTCTGATAAAATTATAAAATGTCTTTATATGGTGATAGAAATTGCAAAAGTCTTTATACCATTAAGTACACAATATGAAATTAACATCTTCCCGGTCTCAGAAATCCACAACCCACCCCCCTTCTGTACAACTTGGCAATGCCAACAGCTACAGAAAATATATCAAACAACGAACCAACCAACCATTGTTTCATTAGAAACTGCACAGAATCCAATGTCAAAAACATTACTTTATTATTATTATTTTTTTTAGGATGAAATGTCCTATTACGTACAAAAAGAATTATTTAGAATTTGCTACAATTTGTTAAAAACATAGCAATCTATTGCCTACAGGTAGGAAAGCTGTTGCTGCAACAAGCTTAAGTGATCGAGCCCATATATACTTAGATATATGACTAGATAGTACAGGAATACTGTGATGTGGCTGGATGCAGAATCACATCATATCATTCAAATGTAGAATTCTTGCATCAGCACGATGCTTACAACATGGAACATTTTCTTTTTGTAAACTAGAAGGACAAAATAGCCTGTATGGAACTACTTCCACCTTGATAGTTTAAGCAAGAACTTTGTTACCATATTGAGCGTTTTAGTCCCTTTAGCTGTAAGCATAGGCTAAAGTGACATCTTTATGTACAGAGGGAGTGGGCTCCAGCAGAGCATGTGAGCCCAGAGGAACCTGTACACCTGAGCCTGGAGAAGAGAGAACTGCCAACTGTTGCCACAGTTTCCTTTTAAGAAACTACGGGCTGGGGAAGGCTTTGCATAGCAGGGCTACACCAAACAAACAGAGAAGACTTTGAAAAAACAAAAACTAGGTAGATTCTAGATTCAGCAGGACAAGGCTAATATGTACTAGTGCAAAGTCTAGGAACATCTGCGAAGCTGTACAATCCAACTTCAGCTGATTTCACAACACAGAGCAGCAGCACAAGGGCAAGGAAGGCGGGAACACTGGCAGGAGGCACATGCAGAACTCACCTGTCTGCTCTATCCTGCACCCTGCTTGTGCAACTCTCCCCTACTGCAACAAACAAAACCCAAAGGAACCCAACCAGCAGAAAGGAAGGCCAGGGTCATCTCGACACCCTTCACCCCACACAGACAGGGGGCTGCCTGTGACTGGGAATTTGCCTAGAATAACAGAAGGTGGATGAAGGTAACGTACTGTGTCATAGTCCTGTTATTAGAGGCCAGCTCCCTAGAGATCTCTGATGTGATGACAATGGACTGGGACTTAGGAAAAGAAGGGCCTCTGCTCTACTGGAGAAACTCAGGCCTTCTGCCTGTGATTCCTGGTGGCCCCCCTCTCCCCACAAGGGCTTACAAGCAATCATTAGCGCACATTCAAAGAGACCTCCATCTGTGGGAGAAAAATTATCTCCATTTATTTCGATTCATATACATCCATAGTTGAATTTTCATACAAAAAGAAAAAAAATTAGAATCTGACAAATGTTTACAAACAAGATACCTTCAAATAGATTTTGCTCATTTAGCCTGGTGCAGAGTAAATGACAATTTGTACTGGTGTATTCAAGGCAACGAAGTCTGTAGTCCAGGACCACTTACTTATCCCAGCCTTCCTGCAAGCTTCATCTGTGTCTACCATGACCAATAAACTCATTGTTGATTCCCAGTTGTGTGTGCACATGTGTACATAGCAGCTCCTTTCATAGAAAGAAAAGACATCTAGAGGTCGCCTTGTACTTCACCTACAGGAATCATGATAAGGTATAGGATGGATACACGTAACCAGGGCTGGATTTTATAAGAAAAAATAATTAGCTGACGAATGAGGGCAGCAATAAAAAAGCGTCTTTTTTTTTTTTTTGCAACAATAAATAAATACAGTCAAAAAGTTTTCTGTGAGACTCTAAACAGCTTCTTCACTGAAGAGCAGACGTGGCATTTCCACGGAGTTACACTTGACCCCATAGTATCTTTTTTTTTTCTTGCTTTTTCTTTTTTTTTTTTATTTTCAATAAACAAAAGTTTCCTGCTTCTGCCACAATAGTAAAGCCATTTGCTCTTGACAAGACAATGGTGCCGTTGACTTTGCTTTTCCTTTGTCCGTTGGACAAAATTGGCCAAGAATACAATTGGACTGTTGTGACCAATAGGAACGAGGTTATGGTCAAGCCTTGTCAGGATAGCCTGACTGAAAACATGTGGCTGTAACTTAAATAGTTCAGGCCACCAGCCTCTCGCTGTGTCTCGATTAGGTGACACGCTGAGCTCTAAGGAGCTGTAGACTGCAGCTTGTTGTTATGAGACCTACAGAATACAGAAAAAGGGGACAATTAAGCACCCTTCATTTCTGAGACAATGACACTTTATGTGGATGCCAAGGCCTGTCTGGGAAAGCAGCCATGCAGTCACTCATCCTTGGCAAGCAAATATAAGAAAATTAACAATTAAGAAATCTTTTAAGTATAGTAGTAAAACTTTTCACTGTACAGTAAACATGGTAGCTCGCTGGAAAAAGCCAATGTTTAAAAATATATGTATATATAAGTGACCATATATTGTTTATTAAGATTACACCATTTCAACAAATGAGACAAAGACATTTACAGAAAGAAGTGTTAAAAGCATAGTAAAAGGTGTGTGTGCCTGTCTATTTACAATGATGTAGGAAATGGAAAGATCCACCAGAAGGCAAGTAGCAATATTAACATCACATTTTTCAATTGAAGTCCAGAAAGTCCTCCTCTTTTCACAGTTTCATTCACAACTTCTGATAGTAACCAAATTACTGTACAGGCAGCAGGACTAACTTGTAGCACTTTACAGCAGGTAAGTACTGCATCCTGAGCATTCACAATTCTTTAAACACATTGTCCAACATGGCTGCCAGAATAGACTTTTTATGTATCTACACATCTGTATTTAACATTAAAATATTATATTAACTGGTTTCAACCTTTGGGAGGGGAATTTTGAATTAGGCAATCACGTGGTACAATAAAGAGTGACCTCAACATCCAGTTCTGATTCCAGTTAAAAATTCAGACTAAAGATATCACAATCTGTAAGAAAAGAAAGAACACGGATGGTATAAATGAATCAGAACAAAGAAATGAGTATAATGTACACACAATCTTGAAGATCGCAACTTAAAAACGGAGGGGGAAGAGTGGAAACAGAAGAGGGCTTAAGGACGGCCTGCCCTGTGCCTGCCTTAAACTGGGAGAGCAGAAGCCTGGAGCAGAAAACAGTAATGCAACAGGGAGCCACCCTGGCCTCTGCACAACTCTTCATGTTTAATCCACTGGAGCAGAAATGAGCCAATTTCTAAATTCAGTTCTGATGTTCTTAAATGCACACCAATGCCTTACCATACAGACAGCCATGGAAGCAAACCAGTGACGAGATGTCATAGTGGTCCCTTACCCCTGGGGGTGCAGGCCAGTGTGTACTATGTGTACTTAATGAAGCCCTGGCTGGCTGTTTACACACACCAACCCCCACACACTCACACACCCCCACACACACACACACACACACACACACACACACCAGTAGGTTGCTAAGCCTCTTCCTATCTTCTGTAAATCCTTGTTTTGCTATAAGCCGCAGGACTGTCAAGCCTTTCCTCCCCCTTCACTGTCCCCTCTGGGACTCTGCCTGCAAGTCTGGCAGCAAAGGTAGGGCTCCAAGCACTGGGCTTCCAGACCCTAGCTACCTCCAAAGGCCTTCCTTTCCAACTTTTAAAAGGGTAGTTTCAGAAATACGATCAGATGACTAAATGCACGAGCATGAATGGGAAGCCCCCCCCCCCCACGCCTGACTTATGAAGGGTCTGCGGCCTTTGCTCCTTTACCAGGCCTGGAACAACTGTTTTCCTCCTCTGCTCCTTAGCTGCACTTTTCACTCCTTCCAACTTTATTTTGCTTTGGCAAATGAGAAGTGAACTCACCTAGCCACTCTCCCGCTTCTCTCTTTGAGCCCATTTTATTTTCTAGAACTTCCAATTCTATCATTCAACAATACTCTTTAGGCTGATTCAAGAAACTAAAGCCCTTGTGACCCTGGAGCTCTTTCTCTGCAGCACCCAGCATTTCTGAGAAAGCTTTTATTTTATTTTATTTATTATGTATACAACATTCTGCTTCCATGTATATCTGCACACCAGAAGAGGGCACCAGATCTCATAAGGGATGGTTGTGAGCCACCATGTGGTTGCTGGGAATTGAACTCTGGACCTCTGGGAGAGCAGTCAGTGCTCTTAACCTCTGAGCCATCTCTCCAGCCCCCGAGAAAGCATTTCTTACCTCCCCTGCTACTAGTTAATTCACAGGTTTAGGTTTTGTGAACTTCAACTAATTATCTCATGTCTAAACCCTTGCTCTCCCCAGATATTCCTGACTTGGGCATATTCCATTGTCACCTTCTGATCAACACTTGTTACATATTGGCCATAAAAATGTCACTGTAGGTTGCAGGCATTCTTGGTTGGTTGCTGGGACCCCTTGTTTCTTGGACTTTAACATCTAGTTTTCTTTTCCTCTATTTTTTGAGACAGGGTCTCACTCGGTACTGAGATTAAAGACATGCACCACCAAGGAAGGAGTCACCACACCAGGCACCCAACGTCCTGTTTCTTTTCTTTGTCTTTTTTTTTCCTCTTCCATTTTTTGAGACAGTTTCTCTGTGAGTAGCCCCGGCTGGCCTTGTTCCTTGATGTGCTTATCTCTGCTGGAGCACACACCTTGTGACAGTAGCCCACGAGGTCCCTTCCTGACACATTAACCATGCCTGTGCTCACTGCATAATCTTCACATCTGCATACTGTACGCTGACCACATTTCCTCAGGAGCTGGGATCTAGTCTCCCCTTTAGCGAAGACTGACCTCTAACCCTGTTGTGTTCTGTCTGCACATGCTGGGGTTGTTTACCCACAGGGCTCCCCCACCCCCCAAGGATGCAAACGGCAGAGCTCAGGTCCCTCACCACCCAGCATCCCCGTGCAGCACAGAGCGGGTTTGTGCTCAATGTGCTACTTTCTGATAGTGACCTTGGTCTTCTCCTTCTTCTCTGTTGCTCTGGGCTTCTCACTGAGTATCAGGCACAGCAACATTCTTATTTCATAATTTCCAAGATGTGAACTTTCATCACTTTCAATTTTGTCTTTTCCTAATTTTACTATCTTAGTCAGGTTTTGTTACTCCCAATAATCTGTTCACCAGCGTGCTTGACAGTTTCTTGGGACACAACACAGGGGCATGTTTTCTGCTCCACTGTGGAGCCTTCCTTTTTGATGCAGGCTTTCCCTGCATTTCTGGCTGTTCTTGGGTGTCTGCTAATCTTCACAAGAGGTACCACCTGGCGGGTACTGTGGGTGAGTTCAGAGCTCCCTGATGGAGCTGCTATTTGAGACGGGATCTGCTAAGTCTCCAACTTGATCTCCAGTGACTTCAGTGAAGAATGAATTTTTTAGTGTCCCTCATGATATTCTGAGGATGGCTCATTCTTTGTCACGGAGGCTGGCCTGCCCAGCAGTCTGGCAAGCAGCTTCTCTGGTCTTCGTGTGCTAGATGACAGCAACACTTCCAAAATAACTACATGGATCTTAGGTTACTTTCCTCTGAGTCTTCCTATTAAATGTCGGAATTCACATATGTGGGGCTCTCTGGGCAATATGTTGGGACCTCTCCGGAATTGTCTAGAAGCAGCTGGATTAGATTTGTACTGGACTGATCTTTTTCCATCTGCTCACCACTGATGAGATTTCAGTGTACTCTCTGCTTTTATCTTTTCAAAACCTCCTCTACTCTCCATGTTCCAACACTGTCTAAAATACAGCTCTTGGGAACCACCTACCTTGCTATGGGAGAAGAAAGACAAACAGCCCCAAGACTTTCCTCAGAGGGAAGTTAGGAGGCAGAACACTGTGTTACTGTGTGCAGTGGGGAGTAAACCCAGGCCCTGAGAATGCATGCCAGTGCTCTGTCACTGAGCTTTGCTTCAAGCCCACAACATTGACTCTAATACTTGCTATGGAATCTTTTAGGAATAGCTGATACAATACACAGATGCCCAGGCCCCGACCCACCCAAGTTACATGGCCAGAATGTCTGGGATGACTGAGCGGGTGGGAGGGTGGACACGGTGCGGTGAATGATGATTTTTAAGGCTACAGAATGGTAGCTGTGACAGAGCTGTTGCCCCTGGAGAGGCGCCAAACACATGGGCTTGAGACGGGACTGAGAAAAGGAAGGGCATGAAGGTAAGACAACAAAATGTCATGCAAAATTGCTACAATGTTTTTATGATTTAGAAAGACTCAGAGGACTTAAGATCTAGCATAGCCTAGAAAAAGCACCTGAAAAACTATCATTTGATGACTTCTAAGGTGCAGCTCACATAACGCAAGGAGAGTATGGATAGCCCTCTTGCTTGCTGACTCTGTGGGTGGCTCAAATGGAGCCAGAGCCTTCCTTGCTTGTCACAGGCCCTGCAGACAGACTCCCACGGACAGCATTTACAAAGTGACTTCATTTTGACCACATTAATAGACACCGGGCTTTCTCAGTAATGACCTGCTCTCATCCTGAAAAGTAGACTACAAAACCATCATCTTTTTGATTTGTTCAGACAGGGTCTCACTATGTAGACCAGGCTGGCCTCAAAATCACAAACTCTTGACTCCTGAGTGCGGGGATTAAAGTTGTATATTGCCATGCCTAGTGTAATGTTGTAGTCTTGACTTTGTAGGAACAGTATTTTTATTTGAGGGAACAAACTTACTATGAACAAACCACTGGCCGATCCTTTAGTAGGACAGTAGTGATTTGAAGAAGTGATTTTCATCAGCTTACTGAACATCCATGCTTACCTGCTAGCCTTGAATCCTTTCAGTTTCTGTACAAAGAATGACTCAAGAACTTCTGCACATTGGTAAAAGGGGGAGTCACTGGGATTGTAGTAACGGCAGTTATCAAAAATTTTGGTCATATCTGCCACGAACTCTGTCAGCTTTTCATAATACCGTTTTTGTATTCTCTCTTCCATGGTGGCAAGGTCTTAAAAACAGAAAAGATAAAATATGTTCACAGTTTTAAGGCTCTCCCAATATGATCACGTCCCGCAGTGCTCGTCAACTCAACATGTGTGTTTACTTGGAACCCTTCTGAACGTGCCATCCCACATCTAGTGGAATAGGCGAGGATGCCTCCAACTGGTCATTACTGTTTCTGTTTTGAGCTCTAAGACACTAATCCTGGCTGCTGCTCAGGAGGCGCTGTCATTACTAGTTAACTACACAGAACAGCTTTCATTCAACTGCTTCTTATTGTTAGTTTTTTCAAGACAGGGTCTCTCTGTGAAACCCTGGCTGTCCTGAAACTCACTCTGTAGACCAGGCTGCCTCAAAACTCAGAGAGCCACATAAAGGTGTGCACCATATAGTAAAACAGCAAACACAAACAACCATGCATACTGACTAAGGCTAATTAAAATTCCAAATTATCAGCACAATGTAGAATTATGAATAAATGCCATCTGTAGTAGTGGCTTTATGATCTTATATCAGGCTCAGTAACACCATGCTGGTTCCCTCAGCCCTCAAAGCAACCATTTTAAAATTAGTCTACACCATCTAGACATTTTTACATACATTTATGAACTTTTAGTAAATATACAATTGTCTCTGGGAATGATGGTGCACACCAGTAATTCCAGCACCCCAGGACTACAGATTGAGACCGCATTTCAAAGCAAAAAGGGAGTGGAGATGACTGGACATTTTATTGCTTAAAACCTAGGCACAGTGGGCAGCTTTCTCTCCTCTCACCGATGTGCTGCAGGTCTGCATTTCCTCCACATGTCTAAGAACAGGTGCACATTATGTTGAGCTGACATTAACAAAAGCAAAGGAAAGAGACAGGAAAGCATCCTGGCTCTGCAAAAGAGAATCTGAGGAGCAGTTCACACTGTCAGCCCAGGAACCCAGGAGCTGATAGCTTTGAGTGGGAGATCAAGGCCAACCTGGGCTAGAGAATGAAATCTCTCAAAAACTATAATCAGCTGGGTGGTGGTGCTGTATGCTTTTAATCCCAGCAGTTGGGAGGCAGAGACAGGTAGATCTCTGTGAGTTCGAGGCCAGTCTGGTTTACAGAGTGAGTTCCAGGACAGGATCCAAAGCAATACAGAGAAACCCTGTCTCAAAAAACCAAAACCCCCCAAAACAAAACAAACAAAAACTACAAGACAAATATAATTTTAAAAGCTGAAGTTGGATAATAAATTAAGAACTATTCAATTTTAAGCTGGGTGGTGGTGGTGCACACCTTTAATCCCAGCACTCGGGAGGCAGAGGCAGGCTGATCTCTGTGAGTTTGAGACCAGCCTGGTCTACAGAGAGAGTTCCAGGATAGCTATGGCTGTTACACAGAGAAACCCTGTCTTGAAAGACAACAACAAAAAGAACTTTGCAGTTCTGAAACATCATGTTCACGTGCTGAGCAGGGGTGAGGAAGTTGGATCCCCTTGTGCTACAGTTGGTGTAACCACCAAGTATCATGGGTGCTGGGACTCAAACCTGGGCCTGTAGGCAGAACAGCCAGCTGTCCTACCCTTTGCACCATCTCTCCAGCTCCAGTAAACTCAACCTGTAAGCTACACAAAGCCATCAGAGCCACTGCTCTGGAGAGACCAGCAGGGGAACGGCACCATTGCCTGTCCAGGCCTCTAAGTTTGTAAGGCAAATGGTCTCCCTGAGCTATTGACTCATAGATTGTATATTTGTTTACTTGGTTTGTTTTGCTCTTTGGAGGCACACTTTTTTTTTTTTTTTCCCGAGACAGGGTTTCTCTGTGTAGCTTTGGAGACTATCCTGGCACTTGCTCTGGAGACCAGGCTGGCCTCCAACTCACAGAGATCGGCCTGCCTCTTCCTCCTGAGTGCTGGGATTAAAGGCGTGCGCCACCAAGGCCAGCTAGTTTTTTAACTTCATTGGCTGGCATATTCTCTGAAATGCAACTGCATGTAGCTCCCCTCTTGATATGCTAGGTTTTACCTCGTCTACTAGTGTTTTTCTCCTGGGAAAGAAAGGATCTATATTCCCTAGGCTCTACACTGTGGTTGCTGGATCTGCTGGTCCATTAGGCTGGGTTCCCTGATCCCACCCATTCTTTTTACATCTGTACAGCCCTACTCACATACAGTGTGACTCAGTGGCCCCTGGACTGCTGCCATGACTACACTTGAGTTAAGCTGCTAGCTCAAAGGCATGCATATGTAAATTTCAACAGATATTCCCAGGTGGCAGTGGTTCCCTCCAGAAACCTTAGCACTGGGAAGGTGCAGGCAGGAGGAGTCTGAGCCAAGCTGGACTAAGGGTGCTTATGAGACCCAGCTTCAAAAGCTATCTCTAGTGACTATTCAAAGTAACCGATACAGTCTGCACTGTCACCTGCATGCCCAAGACACCCTCCTGATACAGCAGCGTCATGGACAACAGAAGGCTTCCCATGACTCCTGAGAAGCGCCTTCCTATTCATCTCAAGCACTTACCCATTGGCTCTTTAATAACACCGTAATAGTCTGGTGCATCATTGGGGTCTACCGGCTCAAGGAAAGGCCAAGCCATCTTATGGGCCTACAATACAGAACAAGCGTCATTACTGTTAGTGGAAGTGCTAACATACGCACACGCGCTCGCGCACAGGCACACACACACACACACACTCTCTCTCTCTCTCTCTCTCTCTCTCTCTCTCTCTCTCTCTCTCTCTCTCTCACACACACACACACACACACACACACACAAATTCAGCAGACTTACTGGATCAACAAAGCCTGAAAATTCAAGTCAGCTTTACATTCAAGAAATGAAATGGTTTACACAGGTGGCAATTACAATTTGTCCTCCAAGGTGGCTCTGAGGTCCTTGGTGACAGGTGTGGGGCACCAGCAAGACAGTCATGAAGCCTATATTCTGGTTCCTCTGTGATGACCTGTCAGCTGAGGAATGCTGGCACAGCAATCCCTCAGTCAGCTGGGTTGGACGGTTCAAAGTGTACAGTGATTACCACTGCCGGGTAATGAGGTGGCAGGGACGGCTGGTAAACAGCCAGGAACTGGGACTAACTTCCCAGTTCTTCTGGCACTGTGACTGTGGCTACAGCAGAGATGTAATCCAATGTCTTGTCTCAACTCATCTCTAACACTCCCAATCTCCCCTTTTCTTTCATTTCTAGTGAGAGAATAACCAGACTAGAATCAAACTGTTTGCTCATCTATGCCTTCAAGACACAGTTTTCTTTAAAAGTAGAACTGAAGTGAAACCAAATGCCCTATGACTCTAGGGCTAGATAAGTCACAGCTAGATGTTGCATTTGGGAAACTTCATGTCACTGGCACATATGAAAGTGCACTTTGTCCACCACTTTGCACCTAGTGCTGGGACACAGCCAAGTGTGCTCACTGGAGAATGGCAAGTTCAAACCCGAGACGGGCAGGGTCAGGCGGCTCTGGTTTCATCTTTAGATGCTGCACCTGGCAGTCTCTCACCTGTAAGGAGCGTAGCACCCTCTTCAAGCCCTCATAGTCTTTCTCTGTCAGTGGTGTGAGCACCGTCATGGCATCTTCTGTCGACTGGCACTGTGGACAGACATACTCATCAATGAGCTCTGCCTCACTTTGCAAGATGCCAACACAGCGCCCGTGGTACCAATTCTGACATCGATCGCAGCCAATATAAAATCTGCAAGATCCAAAATGGAAATGTGAGGCCGGGAAGAACAAGATACTTATACTTAGATTTCCCTTTAAAAACCATCATGCAACTGAAAATTGGCTAACCCCTGGGATATAAAATAACTCCAGTATTAGGGTTTTACTACTCAAGACTGACATTCCAATGTGTTAACCAAATACTTTGGATGCTAAGAACAATAGTAAACATGTATTAAAAGTACTATGTGCTACTGTAGAACCAATTTTGAGGGAAAAAAAAAAGTAAAACATTTGATTGATTTTAAAGGTCAAAACAAAATAAGGAAAAAAAAAATTCTTTCAAGTAGTCCCGTATCAAATGAGAGTTCAAAATCAGTGAGCTAGTAGCAGCCACAGCTCATCCTAAAGGGTGCTTCTCTGGCCTGTAACACAGCATCCCTTCAGACAAGGTGAAGTCCCACCATCAGGCTGTTTTCATTACTTTCTATTACATATTGGAGAATCAAATCTACTGTCATAACCACATTTCCCCCAATGCAACTCAATCATTCACTAGGAAGCAACATACATTTTGAAGGAGAGAGAAAGAGGGAAAAGAGAAAAAAACTGGAAAGGCTTTGTAATGTAGGTGTGTAACACACACAGCAGAGAGGCCCTGCTTTTCATTTTCAGAGTAAGTGACCAGTTGAGCAATGCGGCTTCCTGAATTGTCAAACAGATGCTCTTATCAACTCACTGTGACTCATCATAAGGTGTCCTGCAGATACAGTACAATTCCTCACTGCTGCCCTCTTGTGCCCGCTTACAATCATTACAGATGTACACATCCATTTTCTTAGCCTCCTTTTCTGTGATGCCAACACATTCTCCATGATACCAGTTAGTACAAAGATCACAGCCAATATAGAACCTAAAAGTATTCACAATGAAATGACAATGTAGTTGTCATTTTGAGCTGCATGGCATGTAAATCTGTCTTCCCTACGCTGATTCACTTTCTTACAGGGTAATTTCTGCAATGAGTCAGCTAAATACTGAATCCAACCATTCTACCAGTGGCAAACTACAGCATCTGACACGGTACCAAGGGTGGACACGTCATCACTCATGTCAATTTCAGCAAACACACTGTTTAGTGAAATATGGGTCTTTAAAAACATATTGGAATTTGAAAAAATAAAAAATAAAAAACAACACACCAATGATAATGGCTTCCTCGTAATGAATGTGTGTGAAACTGTAACAGGCACAAAAACCAAAGCCAAAGAATCAAAGACTTACATCTGTCAAACCTATTCTACAGAAGCCATTTCAATATCAGGGCTATTTCTTAGATAGGTTTGAAAATGTATCTCACAATTTGCAGTTGGAAACGAAGCGAAGCATAAAACACTGAGGAGAAGTTACAGCACAAGGAACATGCAGGCCAGCCAGGTGGAGAAGACACATGGTCCAACGTGATATGAAGGGAAACTAGGAGAGGTCCATGTATGCAGTCATTCCTGTTCACTGAGTTGGTACGGGGAGTGTGTGAGGGAAGCATGTAATGGAGCCCAGGTTCTGTGACACGGGGTCCTGGGGAGCAGTCACAAGCAGCAAATGCAGGACTGCATTGCTCACAGGCTACCAGGCTGGCCTTGCCATCACTGGTCCCTTCCACGCCACCAGGCAGCGCTGTAAGTTAACCTAGAGGGATGCTTCATGACTGTGCAGGGCAGGAGTGACACACAGTGAGATGCCAACCTGTTCCCAGTGACCCTTGTTTTTGAACCACGACTCCCACATGCCCTGCCTCAGGTGAGGACCAGATAAGGCAATTGAAATGTTGCCTCTTCAGGTGCCACATGCTCTGGAGGGAACTTCAGGACCTGAGTTTCCATTTTTAGTAACTCTCCTTAGCAGCTAGTGACTCAATGTCCAAACCAGTCTGGTCTGGTCTGAGGTCACAAAGCACTGATAAAACCCTCCTTACTCCAACAATGACAGGGAGTGAAGGAGCCTGTTGTGTTGAAATGTCAATGGCAAACTAAAAAAAAAATAATGGGCAGTCTTAACACAATGAGCACATGTACAGGTGTACCTCATTTTAAGCAACGTCAGTACCCCAGGAAAGCTGTGTCAAAATGATCTTCTGTGGACTGAATATTATGTCAGGTTCCTCCGTGTGTTTTACTTAAAGTGAGGCACACATGTACTGCATTACAGGGGGAATTAGTTCACAGAGTGCCACTCTTTACATGATGGACAACCACTGATGAGGGACACACAGTGTGAAGTGAAGACGTTTACACGCTACTGAGTTCTACAGGCAGCTTGTCTCCCTGCAGAGTTTCCACCGGACATTTGCAAACCGATGGTGACTTAGGCAGCACCATTGGAGTGGCTTCTGTGAAACCACATACAGACACTAAAAATTTCTAGTTCTAGATCATGTTTTTAAAGCACAGTTAAACTTTTCGTACTGTAAAATACTGGTCTATATTAGCATGTTCAACAGAAGTTAAACAGTGAATAATAACTGAAAAAAAAAAACAAAAACAAAAACAGGAACAAGAAAGTATATTTATGGACTAGTATCTCTAAAATCTCATTTATGTTACCAAATATAAGTCAAGACTGTCAAAAACAGCTTCCAAATACTGTGCCCATCAATTTTTGAATGTCAAACTCACAAAGTGCGGTAAAGGAGCACTATGCACTTTTTTTTTTTTTTTTTTTTGCTTTTGTTTCCAATAAGATAGTGGAACCTTAGACAAAAATATTTTTTAAAAAAGGGAACTGATGTGACACCTCTGTGCCATCCATTTTGGAATGGACTCTGGGCTGCAAGACACAGTGCTGGCAGATTGATTAGGAGCAAGTCCACAAAGCGCTTTGGGAAAGCAAAGAGGCCACAGCAAGCTTGTTTTTGACAGAAAAGGACATTGCTGAGGACAAGCAAGACCCATGAGCGTGTGGAACAGCCCCCTTACTGCACTGTGTCAGGCCAAGTATCAGATGCAAGATGAAGCCCAGCCTCACACTGGCTCGCCCTCACCCGTGCTGCCAACTGCTCACTCAACAGCGAAGCTGGGGACAGGCACTTACTTGGACTCGTCGTAGGGCGTCTTGCAGATACAGTACAGCCGGGTGTCTTTCTTGGCCTCCTTGGAGGTCGTGGAGATCATCTTCTTTTTCTTGGATTTGGAGTCCTTCTCCTCCTCCCGCTTCCTCTTCTGGGAAGCGACAGGCAGTGGGGTTGTGGGGTGGCCCGCAGATGGCACACTGTGTGCCAAGGGAGGTGAAGGAGGAGGTGGGGCTGGAGAGGCTGCTGCTGGTGGGGCTGGAACTGGCGCTGGCACTGAGGGTGTGGACACTGCAGCAGCACTGACCTGTACCAACTGTGCCATGTCTCTCTCTCTCTTCATTTTCAGGTCTCTCTTCAGCTCTTCCTGTGGTCAAGTGAAGACAGACAGACGATCACCAGGGTTATGGGAAGGAGCAACCTGGGCAGGACCTGGACATTATCCCCACCTGGCAAATATCACCCACAGTCCCCCCACCCCTGCCCCACACACCATTCTTTTTGTTTTTTTGTTTCTCTGTATAGCCCTGGCTGTCCTGAAACTTGATCTGCAGACCAGGCTGGCCTAGAACTCAGAGAGATCCACCTGCCTCTGCCTCCTGAGTGCTGGGAAAAACCGTGTATCACACTCATTCAAGCAGCTCCTGTTAGGAGTCTGCACAGGAACCAAACACAAGACTCAAAGCAAGGCCTGGAGGGAGTAAGAGAAAGACTGTCCTTGTTTACCATGCTTTGCTTGGATTTAAGATAGTAGACCTAGGCAACAAAATACACAATGTTCTAACTGGGTGCATAGCCCGAGCTATGACAGAGAAGCAAGAAGATTACAAATTAAAGGTTGTCCTTTGCAACACTGTTGAGCTTGAGACTCATCTGGCCTACGTGAGACCTTGTCTCAAAACAAAACAAACAAACACCTCCCAAAACAACACTAGTTTCTCTAAACATGCTTAGCCAAAAATGAGTACCCTGAGCCCGTGAGATGGTTCAGTGGGTAAAAGTGCTTGTCACATTTCTACAGAGATGATGAGAGGCTGGGATGGGACCCCCCCACACACACACACACACTGACCTTAGGGCTCAACTAAACTGGGACACTTTTTTTGTTTTGTTTTTCAAGACAAGGTTTCTCTGTGGCTTTGGAGGCTGTCCTGGAACTAGCTCTTGTAGACCAGGCTGGTCTCAAACTCACAGAGATCCGCCTGCCTCTGCCTCCAGAGTGCTGGGATTAAAGGTGTGTGCCACCACTGTAAAGCTTGTAACACTCTTTTAAAATGCTAATCCACCCTGTCTCAAAAAAATCCCAACACATGTGGCTGGAGGGATGGCTCAGAGGTTAAGAGCACTGACTGCTCTTCCAGAGGTCCTGAGTTCAATTCCCAGCAACTACATGGTGGCTCACAACCATCGTTATGAGATCTGGTGCCTTCTTCTGATACATGGAAGCACAATGTTGCACATATAATAAATAAATAAATAAATAAATAAATAAATAAAATCTTAAAAAAAAAAAAAATCCCAATACACCAACTGCAGCTGAAAAAGGGCTGTAACAACTGCCTGTTGCTCTTCAAGACATGCAGAGTTTCCAGCAGATGAGCAACAGTGGCTGCAATAAGGCTAACTGGATGGAACCCTGGCACCTATAGGAAGGAGTCCTACACATTCTAAAGGAGAGCCTGCCCTGGACTTGGGGTACAGGTCATCATCCCAGCATTCATGAGGCTGAAGCAGGAGGCCCAGGAGTTTGAAGCCAGTCCTGGGCTAAAGATCCTGTTGGAAGCAAATCAAAGGCAGAGGCTTTATATAGATGTTTATAGAAAGAGAAAATGAGCACTTGGGAGGCAGAGGCTGGCGGATCTCTGTGATTTTGAGGCCAGCCTATTCTACAGAGCGAGTTCTAGGACAGGCTCCAAAGCAATACAGAGAAACCCTGTCTCAAAAAACAAACAAACAAACAAACAAAAGAGAAAATGAAATAGAGAATAAAACAACTATAAGAATTGCTTCCCAAGATTTCAAAAATGGCAACAATATTTTCTTAGTATTTTGTTTTCTGTTTTACATTTAAAATTTTATGTTTTTCATATTTATTTATTTATTTATTTATTTATTTATTTATTTATTTATTTATTTATGAGGCATGGTCTCACTATGTAGCTCTGGCTGTCCTGCAATTCACTTAGACCAGGATGGCCTTGAATGCCTCCCAATGGTAGGATTAGAGGTATGAACCACCAAGACAGGCCTGGAATAGTCACTTTAATGTCACGTGCAAGGCTGTAACTTATAGGTTTGATGCTCTGTGAATAGCTAGCTCTCTTAACCTGCACTGTATCACAGCACCAAGTATGGAGTTGTATTTTAAGTTTTCTGATTCTACTGTGAATGGACTCTCTTTCCCGGGATACTGGGACAACAGTTGTACTCAGTGTTAATACTAATGCTGGCAACCTTAATTCTGTTAAAATTTTATTATGGTTTCCCTGGGGATGTAATGTAATAATTACACCACACACAAAAAGAATTCTGTCTTCTTTCTTGAAGTTTGTGCTTCCTTCTTTCATCTTCCTCCAGTGAATAACCTGATTGCTGGCTCTGTCTGGTTTGTCTTCTGTGGGACCTCCAGTCTTTCAGGTTATGTAAGGTCGTTTGTTGGTTTGATGGGTATTTTAGTAAAATGTACAAAATCCCTTATTTGATGCTGTCAACAGCCTGCTTCTTTGTCAGAAAGCTCTGTAAATATTCATGAATGGATTAATAGTGCCTACAGTATCACTTTCAGGGTAGGAAAAATTGCACAAATGTGTTTTCCCATGTTCACATTACTCTGCATTCTTCTGAAATGTGTTCTGGATGAACGATGACACAGACAATAAAAGCACACCACATCCAACATAGCTAAAACAACTCAGCCCATGCTGGGCGGTGGTGGTGCACGCCTTTAATCCCAGCGCCCAAGAGGCAGAAGCAAGTGGATCTCAGTGAATTCGGGCCAGCCTGGTCTACAGAATGAGTTCCAGGAGAGACAGGGATATACAGAGAAGCCCTGTCTAGGAAAAACAAAAGACGAAACAAACAAGAAACCCAAAAAAGCTCAACCCTCTTGGATTGGAGGAAGATAAACTTCCATGCTACAAACACACAAATGTAAATTCTAGAACAGGAGCTGGCATTTTGGCAGGTGTGTCCAGCGCCTGTGGGGCGCTCGCTCCTACCTGCACCTGGATCTGCAGCTCCTTGTCCAGGAGGGCCCTCTTTTTCAGGATCTCGGCTTTGAGCTGCTCCTTGTGTTTGAAGAGCAGAGCAGAGAGCTTGCTGGCATTCTGCTTGCTCCGCTTCTGCTCCACACTCTCTTCGCGTTTGCGTTTCTTTGCCGCCTGTTTTTCTTCTTTATCTATCTTATCCAGAATGTACTTCATCACCTGGTTACACACAATCATTCTAGAGGAAAACACACAACCTCTGTAACACTGGCTGTTCCACCCTGAGAGGTAAGGCACCATTTGTCTACATCCCTAGATGATGTACAAACGCACTGCAGAGTTTCAAGGAGCATCTATGGCCGCTCCTGGCATTAAACTTGGGTAAGACCAAAGCCAAATCAAACTGTGCAGATTCTCAGGTGGGCCTGTGTCTCTCCCTACCTTTGATTTTCTTCTCTTTCAGCTGGAGTCATGGTCTTTTTCTGTTTTAAATGTTCTATTACAGCATTATGCTTCATCACCACCTTGAGAACAGAACAAATGCATAAATGCACACTTTATAACAGACACAAGTTCAGCTAGCACACAGGTAGAAGTAACAACACACGCCGATTTTACAACTAGTAAGAATTGTGTAACTAATACAGATAAAAAGACAGCTGCTAGGTGGTCCCAGGGTCTTACCGTGCACCAAGTACTGAATTAAGCTAAGCACTTGACATTGTTTATTCTCCATGGTAAGACTGAGATGTAGGGATACTTTTTTTGTTCTCAAACACTGAGACACAAAGCAATCAACCAACTTGTTTGAGATTAAATAGTAACACAGCCCAAAACTTTCACCCAACTCTCATGCTCCAAAGGGCTTCACCAACTGTAGCCACCAGGTTGAAGAGTACCCTGCCCCTTACAAAGATCTGGAAGACAGGTCCTGGAGTAACACTCAGTTTACACATGAAACAATACAAGAGCTGGGATTTGAGTATGTCACAGAGGACTTACGTTCATAAAAATAACACCTTATACCTTCACAACCACATACATGATGGGATTTAATCATAACACTCCCATGTGGTTGCAGAGAGACAAGTTTAATGCGGACACAGCTCAGGGAGAAAACAGTGCTTCAGAGCTTGCTAAGACTTGGAACCTCTTGCCTAGTGCTGAGGGGGGCACGTGGCTGATGCCAGAGTGTCCTCGGGAAGACTGCAGGTCACCAGCTTCGTTCTGGCAGAGCTCTGGCTGTCTACAGTGACTCCCTCACCCACATACTAGTCCAAGACGCCCCTGCTGCACACCACCGCCTTCCACGGACGCTACGGACACACATCTGGGTTTAAGACATTTTTACAAAGGTGTGGCAAGCGATGCAAATGAATTCAGTCTGCCCACAATTTGCTTAGTCGATAGGCAAATGAAGGAATGACACTTGCAAATCAGATGACTTCAACTGAATCACTCCATTTTGATGGTGGCCTCACCACTTGGTTTCCTACCAGGGAAAGGCTACATGCCCATTAAGGAGTCCCAAACCAAAATGGGCAAGCAGTGTTCTGGTCTTCTGAGGCTATCCACCAGTGACCATGTCTCAGTCAGGAAGCCTACCACAACCAAAGCACTAAGTGTACCACACAGCACAGTAATTCACACTACCCAACATGCTGCTTTGACTTAATGTCGTTACCTGTTTCTGAATGACTTCCCTCTGGGCAGAAGCTTGGAGGGTGTGTTCACGCTCAATCTCTATCTGCTGCTTCTTCTTTTGCTGCTGCTCCCTGAGATGCTGAACCCTCTGCAACTGCTCTTGCAAACTGGCTGCCTGCACTGTGACCACACTCTGAACATGCTGAGTCTGCACAGCACTGCTTTGCTGAACTTGAATGGGTAACTGAAGTTTGATTTGCTGGGGCACACCACCTTGCTGAGCCTGTATCTGAGCCACAACCTGTGACTGGATCTGAGAGAGAACCTGGACTTGCTGGAGCTCAGGCACAGCAATGACTTGGGGCTGCAGCTGCTGTGTTTGTAGCTGAGGACAGCATGGGGATGAGACAGTAACTTGACTTAATGTTTGTCCTGGAGAAAGAGTTTGAGTTGAAGACTGTACCTGGGGCTGTGACTGTGGCTGGCCTTGGGAAGGTGTCTGCAGAGATGTGGGGGGCGGGATTGGAATCGGCTGTGAGCTTGTAGTCTGAACCTGGGGTTGCTGTCCAGGAGTCACTTGGGATGGAGTTGATGGACGTATTCGAGTCAATGATGGGCTCTGGGCACGAACAGGAGACTGTCCTTGGACATTGCTCTGAGGCTGACACTGTTGCTGGGGTTTAGATGACTGTGTCTGGGAGGGCTGTGCTTCAGAAGGGGTTTGGGACGAGACTTCAGGCTGAGCTGGGGACTGGGGCTGGGGCTGTGCTGCAGGCTGAGGAGTCTGTGGCTGGGCTTCTGCAGGACTCACACTTGATGACTGAGCTGGCGCCAGGGTAGTGGCTGGTTGGACCTGGGTCTGAGGTGACGATTTACTCTGTTTTTGTTCCCCCGAACCTGTAAAGAAAAAAAGACAAAGTGATTTCCCTGGCTTTAGTATGCAAGACTATGAGGGTATTTCCTGAAGCCTCGGGTTCGAGGAGGACTCAGAGTAGCCATCTCCTAGGCTGGGGAGCTGGGATGCTTCCTGCATGCTTCCTGTATGTCACCTAGGTGTTCTGAGGCACTCAAGCTTCACGCTTCGGCTATGGCATGGCAACAGGCACTGATGGCTTACAGGAGGCTGGTTATGAGCTGTGTGGACTCACCCTCCTTAAGCTCACCTCCAGGGCTTCACCAGGATTTTGTTTTGTTTTAATCAGGAAAGGGGGGTACAGGGAGTCTAGGAACAAGGCATGGAAACACAGAGGCTGGCTGTGTCAGCAGTTCAGCTGTTAAGCAGGCTGGAGGTGGAACATTGGGCCCTGCTACTCGAGAGGCCAGCAACGAGTGGCAAGACAGTGTTTCTACCTGCTGCTGTAGAAGCAGTGGCGGGGCTGCTGCTGCTGGTTGTGGCCGTCGTTGACAGTGGGGTAAAGAGGAACCGCTGGACAGTACCATTGGGCATCGCAGCTTGCATGAGCTGTTGCCCTGGCCCTGGAAGGACGGTCATCCCCTGAGGTATCAACTGCAACTGTCCAGTAGTTTGACCTTGTCCTTGAATTACTACTGTTAAACCTTGGTTGCCGCCCTGTGGAAAAAAGCAGACAACATAAAATATACGGCATTTAGGTTACAAATCTGTAAAGGGTTCTAACGGAACCATTTACGTTATGAAGATCCTTCCCTGCAATGGTATCAGGAAAACTCAGGTGAATTACAGACAGGGGACTTGTGTGGCACAGTGGAAAGATACCAACACCTCAAAGTTCCAGTCCAAACTCTCCAATGGGCAGCCAGCCACCCGGTTACAAACATCACACCTGATCCAGATCCCATTTAATTAATCAGTAAAATGAGGTCCTGAGCAGTTATGGATTCCTGCAATGAGTGAGACTGTCTTAAAAATACCCCACTCTGCCAGAAACCAAGGAAGAAAACATCACTTCTTACATTCTGGTAGCATAGATTAGAGCTATCATGGTCAGATCAAAATTCTTATTTCAATCAACCAATTAACTAATGAATTAAACTTTGAGAGTCTGGGTCCTTCCAGTACCCCATGAGAACTCAGAACTCACTGTGACTTCACTCATCATCACACCCGATTCTTACTTTAACCCACCTTTATTCATGTTGGCTCAGCACTTAAGAGCACGGGGAAAGAAAGTGCTCTTGCCTTGACTGCTGACAGCACACTGTCCAGATGGGACAAGCAGGACATAAAAGAAAGGACTGCTGGACTTTACCAAGACAAGGTAGGACAGCCCTTCAGAATATCCTGCTTCACAGATAAGTGTGTCAGAGATGCTAGGCCAGTAGGCCAAGGATGGATGCCCCAACATTGTAGAGGAACCTTGGGTGACTGTCCAGGAAGCCAGATGTGTCTGTCATTTCTGTCATTTTTTGGAAGTTGCTTGCTTGCACTTCCTGCTTACTCAGGTAATATTATTTCCTTCCCAGGTCTCTGATGGAGTTGAAGAATTTATAGTTCTAATTTTCCCTATTACCAGATTCAGGAAAGAAATTCACTAAAGAAAGGTAAAGTGTATATAGTTGAGAGATAGGTAATGCAAGTTAGAATAGAAAGTGAATGAGGTACAACCTTTTGGACTCACCAAAAAGGATAGACATGGAGTAATTTCTCTGAATTTGTCAATTATTAATAGACTAGCCATTGTTCATGTATTCATTGCCTGTTACTTATTGTATATAGTTACTGTACTTACTGTATAGTTTTTCTTTTAGTAGATACAACCTTTTATTTTAGACAAAAATGGGGAAATGTAGTGATGTCTTGTTTATATTCTAACAAATAAAGCTTACTTGAAGATCAGAGGGCAGAGCTAGCCACTAGTTAACCATAGAGGTCTAGAGTTCTATACAGACATTCAAGAAGTGATAGGCTGGTTGGAGACAGGAAGTGATAAGGTGGGAGCAGCCAGGAACTCAGTCTCTTTTCAGCTGAGAAGCTGAATAGGTAAGGTGGCTATGGTTTTTCTCCTTCGGCTCTCTGATCTCTCAGCATTTCTGCCCATATGTGACTCTGGGCTTTTATTATTAAGACCTACTAGATCTCGTGCTATACCCGACCCCAACACTTTATTTGTGAGCCCCTTCTCTAGAGCTGCAGTTACCACATTTCCATTCTGTAGGAATCACCAAACCCGACCGTTACCTCACCACACAGACATCTGGTTGCTCCAAAATACCAATTCTTATGACCTGTACTGTTGTAGGCATTTGTACCAGTGCACACTGGCACTAGTAGGAACAGAACACTTTCCAACCCCTCAAGCATGCACGCCCTCACCACACACTGCAGCAAGGTTGCTAGGAAAGGCTTAACTAAGGTGGTTACACTCTTGCTGGATGTGCATGAGCCTTTACTCTGATCCCCATTTAATTCTTGCTCTTAATGAAAATTCAATTTAACCAGTCTGTTAGGTAGACGGTTATAACACACATTGCCCTCAAGGTCTAGTGGGAAGTTCTTCCTTCTTCATCAGTTTCCTAACAGCTTCTTCCTTCTTCCTTCCTGTGTACATGTGCGTCACGCTGAGAACTGAACATATGACCTTGCACATGCCAGGCAAATTCTCCACCACTGAGCCATATACATTTCCAGCCCTGAATTTATCCCTTCTTGATCTCTACTAACCAAAAAGAAATTGTCTAGTGGGGTACCCACACATAGAATTCAGGTGACAACCTCAGGTTCCAGTCCTCCCTTTCCATATTGTCTGGCCAGCTGGCAGCGAACTCCTGGAGACTCTCTTTGCACTAGTGTGTGTCTTTGGTATGGATTCTGGGGTCCTGACAAATTATCTGGCTAGTGTAGCAAGCACGTTCTTACCCACTAGGTCTCCTCCCAGTCTCTGAGTAACTCGTCACGTACTCTAGGTAATTGGGTATATTTCTAAGTTTTCTCATTGTGACCATATTCCTTGTAGTGTGCTTGATAAACGAGTTCAATTCTACTTCATTTTACTTCTCTGTAAATATCCAACTCAAGAGACTTGAGCTAGGAATGTGCTGCAACACAGAATAATACTCAAGCCCTCTTTTATATTGAAGTCTCACTAAATTACCCTGGATGGCTTTGAACTCATTCTGTCAGGACTTAGAACTAACTGTTATCCTGTTCCAGTCCGAGCAGCTGAGATTACAAACATCTATGCATGGGCAAAGCTAGGACTCCTCTTTGTTGTTATTTTACTAATAACTAAACACGGGCTGGAGAGTTGGCTCAGAGGTTAAGAGCACTGGTTGCTCTTCCAGAGGTCCTGAGTTCAGTTCCCAGCAACCACATGGTGGCTCACAGCCATCCCTTATGAAATCTGATGCTCTCTTCTGGTGTACATGGATATACATGGAAGCAGAATGCTGTCTACATAATAAATATTAAAATATTAAAAAAAACCAAAGTAATAACTAAACCTAGAGCTGTGAAGATGCAGGCAAGGTTTGTAACAACTGAGCCACATATCCCTAGCTCTTGGGTTTTTATTTTTCCTAAAGTTCAATTTATAAATTAATTAGTTAATTAATTAATGATTCTTGCAAGTCTCCCTTTGTAGCCCAAGCTATTCTGGAACTCACAACCTTCTTAGCGCTCCCTCCTGAGTGGTTGGTTAGCACTTTCTGTGTGATTGTTATGGGGCTTGGGCAACCCAGCGGTGAGTGCTTGCTTAGAATATAGTTTGCTCCCAGCAGAGGAAGGGAGAGAAAGAGAAGGAAAGGTTAAGAAAAAGAAAACAAGAATATCAAGTTCTCTTAACCACTGATGCCTCTCCAGTCCCCAGAACCGGTCTCTTCTGTACTTGTGGAGCAAGCACTTTTCCCACAGAGCTATCTCCCAGCCTTGCAATAAATTCTGAAATCTAGTTGCACACAAATTCTCCTGCTCTTCAACACTATCAGTACTCTTGCTAATCCTTCCTTATGCCATCAATGGAGTGCCATATACAATATGCTGCTGTGGAATACTAGTATAACATGTGTTACATTTGTTCATGCTGTGAAATACTTGTTTAATGGTGCAAAGATGTGTTGCCTTCTTTTATGTTGCATTTGCTTAACTCTGTGAAGCTGTGCTACTTTGCTGACTAAAACACCTGATTGGTCTAATAAGGAGCTGAACAGCCAATAGCTAGGCAGGAGAGAGAAATAGGTGGGGCTGCCAGGCAGAGAGAATGAATAAGAGAAGAAATCTAGCAAAGAGCAAAGAGTGAGCAAGGGGTGAGAAAAGAAGGAGGGAAAGATGCCAGGGACCAGCCACCCAGCCATCCACAGAGTAAAAAGAAAAGAAAAACATACAGAACAAAGAAATGTAAAAAGCCCAGAGGCAAAATATAGTTACAAGGAAATGAGATAATTTAAGTTAGAAAAGCTGGCTAGGAACAAGCCAAGTTAAGGCTGGGCATTCATAAATAAGAATGAGTCTCTGTGTATTTGTTTGGGAGCTGCATGGTGGGCCCCCAAAGAGTAAACGAACAAAAAACAAAACAAAACCAAAAAAACCCCACAACTACAGTGGGCTTTTGAGAATTTAGGGCTTTGGTAGAAGACTAGACAACAATATTGGATATTGCAGGCTGTCAGTTTAATGCACCCAAATCTTGTGTTTTTTTTCTATGAAAATTGCTCAACTAATAACGTTTTGGTAACTGAAAGGCTCTCACTTTCATTGGCACAGCTTCTAAATGAAGGACTCTAAAGAGCAGGACATTATGTTGCTAGTAGTAAGTATTCTTATTTCACTCCAGGAGGCAGCCATTTCTTCTCTTTGTATAATCTGAGGTTTTTACTTATATGTATGAGCATTCTCCTGAATGTACACCTGTGTTCTATGCACATGCTTAGTGTCCACGGAGGTCAGAAGAGGTCGTCAGATCCCCTGAAATTGGGAGTTTCGGGTAGTTATGGGTGCTGGGAATGAACCTGGGTACATTTTGCAAGGTCAGCCAGTGCTCTGTCCTATGAGCAATCTTCCCAGCCCCAAGCATCCATTTCTTAAAGTATGTATGTTATGGTGGAAGCTTCACCCCAGCCCCTGACATCCATACCCGAAGAGTCTGGAATGTTATGGTGGAAGTTCCACCCAAGCTCTTGTCCCCTATCTCCCTCCAAACCCTGCTGCACCTCTGAAAGCCAGCCAAATGACGACTCCTCCCCAAGAGATGCTCAAGACCTCTCCCACAGGGTATTTAAACTGTCCCGAAAAGAGACTTGTGGTTTTCCAGTTTCTCTTTCCTGTTTTCTCTCTGAGGGGCTGGGAGCACTGTATCCATTAAACGTGGCTTTTTAAATTCGGTTTGGTCTGATTTGGACTGCTGCATGGCAGAGAGACTTATCAGGGTATAGAAACTTTTCAATGTATTACTTCAAAATTGACATAAGATCAAACGTAAACTTCAGCAAAAATAGACTACCTCTCAAGTGAAAGTCAAGTCACTTACGTGGCCCTGTGTTAACTGGGTGAGCTGAGCCATGGTGAGCTTCACTTGCCCTTGCTGGGGACGAGGTGGTTGTGGGGTTGAAGGCTGTATAGACCCAGGGGCTGTTCCTGGACTTAAAGCTTTTTGCCCAGGTGATGAAGAAGCCGTACTTGGAGCAGAAATGGCAGTGGAAACAGGCTGTCCTCGGATGATCTGAGTCACCACTTGTTGGGGAGCACCTGCACAAACAAGATACCCTCGTTGATGACACGCTCTCAGCATGCTGGGAATTAAAATAGTCTGACACTTCAGATGAATGTTGATAATTTCAATCTTCAAACAGACATTTGGTTGCCAATAACCCAAGGTGAATTTAAACACCAGACTCCAGCCAAAGATTCTACTGACTTCAATAGTGTTAAGGAAAAACAGTCCAGGCCAGGCAATGTGACGCATGCCTTTAATCCCAGCACTTGGGAATCAGAGGCAGGCGGATCTCTGGGAGTTTGAGGCTAGCCTGGTCTACAGAGTCAGTTCCAAGACAGCCAGGGCTATAAAAACCCTGTCTGGGAAACAAAACAAAAGGCAGCTCCTCGGTCATACAGTAAATTCTCAAATGTAATGGCTTTTGGGCTACATCTATCTGGGGGCTTTCTTGGGGATAATATTCTTAAGTTTGCTGGCCTTATGAAATGATTTGATAATCGGCATCAATAGTTTTTCATTATTGCTCTTCCTTGTAAACTCCTGAGTTACTCTCATCCACTCAAGATGATCCACAATCCTAATGTGACGTGAGAGCTCCATGCCTTGCACACTAAGTTTGGAAACAATACATGGAAAGTTACCATTCAAGATAAGGCACTGCTAAACTACCACACAAGCACAGAAGAGACCGGTTCCAGGAACTAGAGAGAGGTCAGTGGTTAAGAGAATTTGATATTCTTGTCGAGGACCCCAGTTCAAATCCCAGCACTCACAACTACCCTTAACTCAAACTCCAGGCATCCACCTTGCCAGGGACCAGTTGATAACATGGTGCACAGACATACATTCAATCAAAATACTCACACATACAAAATGAAGTAAGTAAATCTAAAAACAGACTGGTTCTGGTCAATTACATGAGGATCACTAAGATAATCCGAAACATGCATGTTCTCTTTGAAGCACCATCAAACTGAACATTAAAGCCAGTTGTACTTAACCAATGAGTCATCTCTGTAGGCCCTGTTTTTGAATTTTTACTCAATTTTATATCCCCCACCCCAGTGCTAGGGTCCATAGACAGGGCCTTTCGTGCACGCAAAAAAACAAAAGCTCTACCACCAAGTACCAGGCCCAACTCACAGTTTTAACCTGTTTACATTAATTATGATTGATTCAAGGTCTGACACTACCTTTGCACTTTGCATGCACAAAACCTTTGTTCTTCTCTTTACTCTATGCCATCTTTCACATTTATTAGAGGTTTCCTGTATTCACTTTATAGGTAAACTTGAGTTCACTTTTCCTCTTTTTGGCAGGGAAAAAAATAAATGGTATCTGTGTTTGCGTCTCACCATGGATTAGAAACTTAATGTGCACTTAAGTACTAAGTAAAGAGGACCAAATAGAACAGTGTGTCACAATTTCCTAGATGTGTTGTCCAAATACTAAGTTAGTAACAGTGCCTACAAGAATACCTGGCTGCACCATCACAGGTGTTCGAATGATTGCCTTTCCTAGTGTTGACTGCTGGAGCGGTGTTCTAATCACCGTCATGCCAGGACGGATCTGAGGCCCCGTGAGTACCTGTGGATGAACAAAGGACAATAAATTAAAACTGTTGCAGCAACCCTGGTGTCACACGCCTTTAATCCCAGCACCCTGAGGCAGAGGCAGGTGAATCCCTGGTCTACAGAGTGAGATCCAGTACAGCTAGGGCTACACAGAGAAACTGTCTCGCAAATAAATAAATAAAGAAAGAAAGAAATAACACAGCTTCAAAATGTCACAATGGACTTAGAACTCAATTTCATTAAAGATCCTACAGACGTAGAAGAGAATTTTATATATTTTGAGGCAGGATTCTGCTATGTAGCCCTGGCTGCCCTGGAACTCACTATGTAAACCCATTGTTTCCGCCTACCCACTATTACATTTGAAACTGTATTCAGTGTTGGTGTAAAAGTGGAATTTTGAAGATAGAAACTTAGGCTCAGCTCTGTCACTACTGCTCAAGGAAGAGGTTGAGTCCTAGAACCTGGAGACTAATAAATAAACAAAAATCCAATAACTTTCATAGCTTAAAAGACGACAATAGAAGGGCCTAGGCCTGGCCCAGGATGATGTGGTAGACTTTGGGGAGCCCCTTTTAAGGGCCTTACCCTGCCTGGGGAGTGGAGGGGGGATGGCTAGGGGATGGTGGGATATAGGGGGGGAGGGGAGGGAGAGGGAGAAGGGATTGACATCTGAAGCAAGCTTGTTCCTAATTTGAACTAATAAAATAATAATAAAAAAATGACAATAATGGCCACATTACTTCAGTTTTATAATTAGAGACGAAATTCTTTTTTTTTTGGAGACAGGGTTTCTCTGTGTAACAGTCCTGGCTGTCCTGGCACTTGCTATGTAGACCAAGCCGGCCTAGAACTCACAGAGATCCTCCTGCCTCTGCCCCACCACTGCCTGGCAAGTTGGAACTTTTTTTTTTTTTGGTTTTTCAAGACAGGGTTTCTCTGTGTAGCTTTGGAGCCTATCCTGGCACTCGCTCTGGAGACCAGGCTGGCCTCGAACTCACAAAGATCTGCCTGCATCTGCCTCCCGAGTGCTGGGATTAAAGGCGTGCGCCACCAATGACCGGCTAAGCTGGAACATTTTTACTTTTTCCATGATACTAGTGCCAAAGAAATGCTGTACCTCATGTGTGCATGATATTTAATCTGTTCTTTTAATTTGTAAAGATTTATTTATTTATTATGCATAGTGTTCTGCCTGCATGTATGTCTTCATGCCAGAAGAGGGCACCAGATCTCATTATAGATGGTTGTGCGCCACCTTGTGGCTGCTGGGAATTGAACCTAGGTCCTCTGGAAAAACAGCCAGTGCCCTTATCTCTGAGCCATCTCTCCAGCACCGTCCCCCCCCCCCCCCTTTTTTTTTTTTTTTGGTTTTTCGAGACAGGGTTTTTCTGGGGCTTTGGAGGCTGTCCTGGAACTAGCTCTTGAAGACCATGGTGGTCGCGAACCCACAGAGATTCGCCTGCCTCTGCCTCCCGAGTACTGGGATTAAAGGCGTGCACCACCACGTCGGCGGAACAAGGTCCCTTTATGGATTTATTTTATGTGCATTGGTGTTTTGCCCACATGTTTGTGTGAGGGTGTCAGATCCTCTGGAACTGGAGTAACAGACAGCTGTGAGCTGCCATGTGGGTGCTGGCAACGCTAGGTCATCTGGAAAGAGCAGCCAGTGCTTTTAACTGCTGAGCTATCTCTCCAGTTCTCAATCTGTTTTTTTTTGTTCAGAAAGAATACAAATGAATTAAAGCAAAGTTAGCGAGAACTCTTGCAAAAAGGGAGGGCTTCAAGAGAGGGTAGGGATTAAGAAGTGTAGCATGTTCCAGTGCTGTTCAAGCCACAAACATTTTTCTCTAGAAAACCTTGGCAAATAATTATTACTTATAAATACCAATATACAATTAACCAAATGCCAAAATTATTAAGTCTTGTGTCATTTTTGTTCATTACCAAAAAAAAATTGCTGGGCAGTAGTGGCACACACCTTTAACCACAGTACCCAGGGAGGCAGAGGCGGGTGGGCAGGTGTGTGTGTGTGTGTGTGTGTGTGTGTGTCAGTGGGAGAAAAACAGTATTGTGTGTGTGTGTGTGTGTGTCAGTGGGAGAAAAACAGTATTTTCCCAAAATAGTACTTCGTTACAGATTAAGTCACCCTGATGTGTTCAATATTTCTCAAGAGACAAATCCTTAAAGAATACTTACCTGTGATGTGGTAGTGGTTCCTGCAGAGGCTGAGGTATTGGGCCTAATTGTGACTGTTGCGGTCCTGGGCTGGAATGAAGTAAAGGTTTGCTGACTTGGACCTGTCGTCGATGGAATGATACCCAGGACTTTCTGCTGTACCTGGACCACGCCTTAAAGAGAGATGAAGAAGACATGAATCACTACCCTTCAAGGAAAAGAATCAGGTGCTGCTTGGTGTCTGAGGAAAAACTACGTGTGGTGGGTTGCAGAGTGGGCTACACAGAATGTGAGACCTGACGACTGAAACCAGTGAGAGGAAATGGAGTGATGGCGACAGCATGATCTGGCGAAGGTGAACTCAAACTCTGTGAGGTTCCCTTACCTCCTTGTGTTGCTGGCACATTTACAGCGACAATCTTGCTGTTTGCAGGAAGTGGCAGTTTGGTAATTACTTTTCCTGCCATAGTGACGGGATTGCCTGTAATTTGGAACGTCTGACCTGTGCTGGCAATGGTTGTAGCAGAGGTGGCAGCTGTGCTGGTGGCTAATGGGGTATAAGACATTTAATAAGCTTTAGATCTTAAATAACCAGCAGCGCAGTGACTTCTAGGAAGGGCACCGATGCAGGAAATGCGGCTCATTCTGTATCTCAAGGAATCATTCCTCTCTGCACCAAGTGCACTTGTGGGTACTGAGGGGAGGACTGCAGAGAGGACTCCACAAAGAGCAACTACGACAAACGGCTGTCACAGTCTGCCTGCACAAGCAGCGGCAGGAGCAGAACAACACTCTCAAGAAATAAAAGTTAGAAATGCCCCCCCCCCCCTGCAATGAAAGCAATGCTTCATTCCTCCCGGCTCTACCTGAATTGGACTGGCCTTGCTTCACCCACGTGGCAAAGGTTTGGTGGAAGTTCTTGTTTTGCTGGAATGTGACTGTGGCAGGAGACCCAACTTTGGTGGCTAGCACCATCTTTGTTCCAGGGGTGACTGAGCCACTTAAGGGAGCCACCATCACCTTCTGAGCTGGAGAGACAGTGCTGCTTGTGCTGTTTGTTGGGGATGCGGTAGACGCTGCAATGACTGCAGGCTTCTGCTGCTCCAAACGTTTCTGAGGGTTAAGGAGAGGAAACGTAAACTCCAGCTCTGCACGACAAACCTCATGTCGCAGGGTTCCACTATGGCAAACTACCAAAAAGAAACCATGCCTGTCTAAATTTATCCTGAAGCCTTCATGAAGTCTCAAATCCCAATTCTCGACATCATTATAAATTGTTCATAAATAAAAAATTTAAAGGTCAAAATGTTGTATGTAATATCTGACTTTCAGAGTGAGAATGGCTGTGGGAAAATGGTACTGGAGACAACACTGCACTTCAGAGTCAGGGAAGAAGGGATGGGCTTGTTTCATGGCAGTACCTTAGCTTATCTAATCAAAAAGAGCATGATGGTAGTTTTTATTACTATTATTCTGGTCAACAAACTTGTGATCAATCTAAATGGAAATTATAAATTGAGACTTTGTTATTGTTCATTCATAGACAGGGTCTCATTCTATAGCCCAAGTTGGCCTGGAAAAAAACTATAGAGCAGTGTGGTCTTTAACCTGGAGCAATCCTCCTGCCTCAGTTTCCTACGTGCTGGGATTACATCATGTACTATATAATTAAGAGTCAAGGTGCCTGGCATGCACAAGGCTCTGGGATCATTACTCAGCACTGCAAAAATAAAAATGAAAACAAACTAAAAGCATAGGGCTAACCTGGGTGTGGTAGGCACATCTGTAATTTCAACTCCCAAGAGAATTTTCAAGTTCAAGTCTAGCCTAAGGTTACAGTACAGAGCAGGAGTCCCTCTCAAAAATCAGGCTGGGTGTGGTGATTCATGACTTTAATCCCAACGTTGAGGTTGAAAGAGGCAGTTCTCTATGTGTTCAAAGCCAGTCTCCTCTACATACAAAGTTCCAGGGAAGCCAGGACGACATAGACATCTTGTCTCAAAACAAAAACAAGCCTCCCCCTCCCCCCCAAAAAAAAATCAAAGCAAAACAGGTGGAAAAGACAACCTGTATGTTTTTAATTAAAGACTGGCAGAGTTTATCCACAGTTACCCAACGGTGGTCTATTCCACGAATGAAGCATCAGGCAGGACAGACTGCATGGGGAGTACTTCATTCAGCAATACTTCTCATCAAACCAGAAAGCTGGCATAGGGACACTAAGCACGAGAAACTGAGGCTCAGAAGGCTGTGCAATTGGCCCAAGGGCACATGATGGAGCTGTGACAAAGCACACTAAGGTCCACTCAGATGGTAAGGGAGTAGAGTTGCCTTGCATTTGAGGATGCCTGAGGTACAGAGTAACACTGTGCCTCAAAACCACAAACAAGAGCTGGATATAGTGACTCCTGCCTGTAACTGCAGCTCATGGGGGACTACAGTGAGTTTGGGCCAGCTTGAGCCACACACTGAGATCAGGGACAGCCTGAGCTATAGTGAGAGTCTCGGAACTCTATTGAACCCAAATCCCAGGCTTCACTTCTCCTCTATAGTCATAGCCATTCTGTTTGAATTGTTTTTGCAGACAGACCACATGCTCGAAGAGATGTTGAAGTATTTCATACCAATGCTCATTTTTCACAAGAGAAGCTGTACAAACTCAGAGAGGTCACCTGACCACACTGGTTAGAAGGAAAACTGAGCAAAAACAAGGAATACACAAGTAATTAAGAGCATTTCACTGGGAGAAACTGCATTAAAAAACTTGAAGTGCTATGTTGGTGAAAGTTCTTTCCCACCAGCCTGGTTCCACAGCCACCTTAACTTCAAATAAATAGACAGACACTATGTTAATTGTAAAGCTGTGTCTGCACTCAAGAAGAAGAGGCAGGTGAATCTCTGAGTTTTGAGGTCAGCCTAGTCCCAGGGTAGCCTAGGCTACACAAAGAATCCCTGTCTCAAAAAACAAAACAAAACAAACAAAAAAGCAAAGAGCAGAACAACTGGCCAGTTGCTATAGTAACAACAGATGCCTATGATTTTCTATAAGTTTCCTGGGCAGAATTGAGCACATAACCCAAAAATGCTATTTCCTCAAATTTTTAATGAGGAGAAAGACACATAAGATTTTGAAAACTGTGCTTTATAAAATATGAAAAAAGAATGGCTTGTTTTAAAATATGTGCAGCTGGGGCTGGAGAGCTACTCAAGATAATGAGCAATGGCAGCTGTTACAGGGACCAAGGTTTGTTTCCAGCACAGTCTCTGTAACTCCAGCTCCAGGGGACCTGCTGCCCTCTTCTGAATATCACCAGACAGGTGTGTGGTGCATAGACACACATGCAGGCAAAACACTTGTACACATAAAATGAGCATAAATGTGCAGCTGTGTCGACAATACTACAAGAAAACACATTCTTTTATCTCTACCCTCTAAGTTTGCACAGTCAGTAGAAGCAAGCGTCTTCCTTGCATTCTCAGATACAGTATACTGATCACCATATCAGATGCCAAAAAACAACCCACAACCTAGTGAGCACTGATTACAATGAACTCAGAGCCTTAGTGAAGTTTACTTCTTTACAGGCTGAACTAGAGTTCAGCAGAAAAAGTTCTTTCTAGAAACTACTGAAATAAAGATTGGTAACAATACCCTGAGGAGGATCTGACATCCTACAGTCCTGCACTTGACCTGCAGATCCACAGATTACTATATCACAGTTACTTCTGAGAAATGAAACACAAGGTACACTTTAAAAATCCCATGTGAATATAAAACCCCTGGGCTTTTCATGTGCCTGAATTTGGCTAAAAAGGTCACTCTGCTACCCCAATGTGGCTGGGGAGGGCCCTCTAGGCGGTGACCCGCCCACTGTCCATTCACCTTCGTCTGCTGCTCCACCGCTTGAGCCTTTTCTTTCTCCACTCTGTAGGGGGAAAAGAAGCAACTTATCAGAAACCGTTTAATAAGTGAAATCTGGTTGACTTTGGCATCATAAAGAATGGACTATTTCTGTTTTAAATGAAAATTTAAGATATTTTAAAAATAGCAAATGTATAATATACTAGCACCCTAAAATTTAGAAACAGGACTTAACTACCCAGAGATAGTACACCAAATCAAAAGGCAGAAAAAAATTAGCCCAAATAGACCACAGCAGCTACTAATATGACAATTCCCTAACTCTGAAGTGCTAAAACCCTTAATATGACCGATTACCTCTCAGCAAAAGCCCTGATCTCCCAGAGTTCCAACTCCTCTTCTGCCACCCAGGTTTCAATGATAACTGGGCCCGTCTGCTTAGGTGTTTCAGGTCTCTTTGGCCGCAGTGCACTCGATCGAAGGCCTTTCCGCTGAGGTGTGGGTGTTTCTTGGTGAAAGAAATCAGAGTGTTATCAGCAATCCTATCTGGATGGAGTTCTGATATCTCATGTCATGAAACACAGCGGGCAACAAACTATATTTTTAATTTAAGACAGGGTCTGCCACACAGCCCAGGATGCCACCACCAGCAAAACTTTTCCTTTTAAAGGGCCAGATACTGTAAACCCTTGAGACCATATAGGTCAGGTAGTTTACATTGCAATTGTGGCCCCTATCACCTGTGGTTAAAACCACTGCTGCTCTTCCAAAGGACTCGTGTTCAATTCCCCAATATCCACATGGCAGCTGTGCTTAACCCCAGCCTAAGGGATCCAATGAGTTTTACACATCTCTAAAGACACCCGCACACACGTACACGGGCATACCTGTAGGCAAAACACCCACATACATAAATAATTAAAACACAAAAAAAACAATGTCTGGGGGCTGGAGAAATGGCTCAGTGGTTAAGAGCACTGGCTTCTCTCCCAGAGAACCCAGGTTCAGTTCCTAGGACCCACACGACAACAGTTCACGACATCTGTAACTCCAGTTCCGGGGATCTGAAACCTTCATAGAGACATACACGTAGGCAAAACACCAATGCACATCATTTTAAAAAAGAATCAGTGGATATAACAATAACAATGTCAGAGTTACACGATGCTGTCTTCCAATTAAACCCCATTTGTAAAGCAGGCAGTCATTAAGGCACACGGGATATGGTTTATAATCCTGATAAAGGGCTTGTGGACCTTTACACCCTTTCTTCTCTGCCTAGGGCTCTATTCCTCATCCCTTCTCCACATGTGACTAAGAGCAATTCAGTGTTGAGACTCCAGAACCAACACAATCTCTTTCAAAGGTTCAGCATTTCCAGGAGGAAAGCTGACAGCAGGGGTACTGGGGAATGGCGAGAGAGAAAATGCCAAATTCCTGGCACTACCCACTCCAGGATCACTTGGGACTACTTCTCCTTGGCCTGATAAGATCCTGAAACAACAATGTCAAAGAGGAAGGGGAGTCCTGGAGAAGAGGACACCCCAACAAGTACACAGAGCAACTGTGGTACAGGACTATAGCTGTCTTTGATTGGCGCGGTAGGAAGCAAGGCCAGTAAGTAACCAGGAGCGAAAGGGCTTCCCTGGCCATACTGTGTTTGTTTGTTCCCTCCCTTCCCTTATCAACACTGCCCTCCTATGTAAGCTGCAGTGGGGGCCTAGAACTCAGCATGGAGCCCATGCCATACCATCTTTCTGCTTCAGACCCCTGAGTGTTGAGTCTGTGACATTGTATGCACATTGTGGGTCACAGTCACCCCCAACCTCTCCTTGTTTGAAAGACTAAAGCAAACTTCAGGTCTGTCAGAGCTGAGCTGGTAATACTCTTTTCCCCTCCATGGCACTGAGGAGATAGGTTGCATTTACCCAGTATAAAAAAGGGATCCAGGTGGGCAGTGGTGGCGCATGCCTTTAGTCCCAGTACTCGGCAGGCAGATCTCTATGAGTTTAAGGCCAGCCTGGTCTACAAAGCTACACAGAGGAACCCTGTCTCAAACAAAACAAAACAAAAGGGGGGTTATCCAAAAGGCTGAAGAACATATAAAAATCTCCCAGTAAGACTTAAAAAACTGTACAGTAAAGAGGGATGAGCACTGAGCCTTGCCCAGGGCCCAGAGTTTAGGAAGTGTAGCTTACCGACAGCACAGCTATGATGCATGTACCCCAGAGAGTCAAAGCCCCAGGGGGACTGTGTCTAGAATGTTCCTCGATTCTGCTGTGCCTTCGCCTGCTTGGGGCTATCTTTCTGTGTCTGGCATGGTGTGATTACTATGGGAAAGCATCCCACTAGTATAGTGTAGCTGTTCATGGGAAAAGACCCCTCTCCTCATTGGGCAATTTACATGAAGATCAGAATTAAGATGATTTTTATTGAGCAATGATGCTTAGAGATGTGAGTGAGGGTTGCTAAGGATGAACAAAAACAAGCAAGTCTCATACATTACAGACCCATGAATTCAGCCTGTGCAAACACAGGCTGATGATTAAAGAAGGCAAAATGTCCCTATACCCCAGGTTAGGTCTGAGTTCCTTGGTCATGTAGCTTACAGAATTAATCACAGGTTTTGGTGGTGCATGCCTTTAGTCCCAGTTCTCTGAAGGCAGAGGCAGGTGGATCTCAGTGAGTTCGAGGCCAGCATGGTCTCCAGAGTGAGTTCCAGGACAGCTAGGACTGTTACACAGAGAAACCCTGTCTCAAAAAAACTAAAAATAGGGCTGGTGAGATGGCTCAGTGGTTAAGAATACTGCCTGCTCTTCCAGAGGTCCTGAGTTCAATTCCCAGCAAACACATGATGGCTCATAACCATCTGTAATGAGCTCTGGTGCCCTCTTCTGGCCTGCAGGGATACATGCAGGCAGAACCTGTATTCACAATTAAAACAAAAAACAAAACAAAGTTGTGAAAGGAAATTAATTAAATGACCTATTGTGTGTAAGGTTTTGTAGGGTAGAAACAGGACAGAAATCTTTCACACTGAAGCTGTAAACAGCTCTGCCTGAAGTTACAAAAGAATTGGCTGAAATACACTTGGCTTGCTTAAAACCTTGTTAATCAACATTAAAAGAATCATTGCTTTGGAGTGAAGATGCTATGGTGGGAAAATTAACACTTAATACTTTTTATTTATGCATATGTGCATGTCTCATATTATGGCCATCTTGAGTAGTTTGCATTAGTTCTTTTTGTTGTTGTTGTTTGATTTTTTTGGTTTTTTGAGACAGGGTTTCTCTGTGTAACAGCCCTGGCTGTCCTGGACCTCATTCTGTAGACCAGGCTGTTCTTGAACTCTGGTTCTGGTGCGTTAGTTTCAACACTAGAATTAAAAAAAGATTTAGTCTTAGTTATGTGCATGTGTGTCAGCCTGCAAGTGTTTATATGTACATATATGAAGGAGTCTATGGACTTCAGTCAAGGTCCTTGGAAGCCCCTAACGTGGAGTTATGAGCCAACATGTAGGTGCTGGGAACTGAAGCTCTGTCCTCTGCAAGAGCAGTAAGCAGTCTTAACTGCTGACTCATCTTCCCAGCCCCCATTTTGTTTTTTGAAACAGGGTCTCACTTTGTAGGCCAGGATAGTCTGGAACTCACAACACTCTCCTGTCTTGGCAGTTAGTCTTTATGCTTCTTAATACAGGAGTAGCTCGTGGTGTAAGGTAAGCCTTTAAAGAGACAACTACTAGCAAATCTCAACTAACAGGACACACAGCCAGCAGACCATCGAGGATGTATTTTTTCTATTTCTTACCCTTTGGTGCTTCTGGAACTCCAATGGGGCAAATGATCTTCCTGATACAGTACTCAGAACGAATGCCGTAAGGGCCCACATCACGCCTCTTAATTATCTCTGTGGTTGTGATTTCAGTCTCAGATGTTTCTATGGGAACATGGGTTACACACTGTTAATAACCACCCGAAACAGGAGGGAACTGAGAACATGGTACTTCTTTATAGATGAGAATCTATAAAGCACGTGGTACTTCTTTATAGATGAGAATCTGAAATGTCCTTTCAGAGCTTCTGGCTTATTAATGAGCCCAGCATCACTGCTAGCTTGCAACAGCTGAGTTTCTTCCTGAGAGAATGCGGTGCTGCTGTTTTTGCAGCAGGGTCCTCACCATGCTGTGTAGGGGGATCATCCCTTTCCTTCTGATATAACACAGAGTTTCTCTATGGCCCAAGTTGGTCTAGAACTTGATATGTAAGCCCAGGCTGGCATCAAACTTGTGGCAATATTCCACCTCAGCATGAGTAGCAGGTAAAAAAAAATGACGTAAGGTCCAAGTTAACTCCCAGAGACAGCACCCACTCAAAGCAGTGCCTGATGTTCAGGGATCTCAGGTTAAGTGACTTACACCCTGGAATAACAACTAACATCTGAACATTTAGACAGGCCTATGTGTGCGGATTCACCTTGAATGTGGCCCATGCTCCTTAACATGGCTTTATGGCACTCAAAAAACTTCAGCAAGGTTAAATTCTACAAAATAAGATAAGCATTTAATACATTCAGTGAATGGCACATGATTTGATTTGACTTTTGTGCAGTGCTAGGGGTCAAGCCCAGAGCCTTGTACATGCTAGGTTGAGTTAGTTTCTTGGTTTGTTTTGTTTGAGAGAGTTGCTCTAGCTGGCCTTGAGCTAAGTAGCCCAAGCAGGTCACTAATTAGATCCTCTTGCCTCCCCCTCCTAAGGAACCGGCATCTTGAGCCTATGCCCGGTCTGGCTACCTGTCTTGCTGCACGGCCTCACGTAACAGAAGACGGCCTTGAACTCACAGGCAAGAGTGACCTTGAACTTTTGATCCTCCCTCTTCCAGCTCCTCACTGCTAAGGTTACAAGCATGCACCACCACAACCAGGTGATGCACTGCTGGGAAGCTAACATGGGTCCATATGTCAGCACATGAGATATGCACTCTAGCAACTAAGCTGTACCCTTAGCCGATCTTGTGACCTTAAAGTCCAACTCCCTTACCTGTCCTTGTAGTCCCTCCTCCTGGAGGGGCCTTGGCTGCCATGTCATCCCATCTCAAACTGGCCCACAGTAACCGTAACATCAGGCTCACTCCCGCTAAGGATTTTACCGTCTGAAGTCTATACCTGAAAGAACAACCCAAATCAACTACATATCATCATACAAACACACACTCACTCACACTCTCTTCTCGCTAGGAAACTGAAGGACATGTTTCTGGTGCTCACTGTAACCTCAGTATTTCTATCATGGCTCTGTAAACTGGCATTACACATTCTTTAAGATAACAGCTGTGAGTTCCTAGGATAACATTTTAAATCATTTACATTCATTTCCAATGCCATATAAATAGGTAAGTGTTTTATCTTAAGATCTAATAAGACAACAATTTATAAAGATTGTTATATTAATCTACTAAAATATCTGCATGAAAAACTACAGAGAAAAAAACAAAATCAATAATCATGTTACTAAATATGATAGAGGAGTCTTGAAGATAAAGTCATGTTGAAATAGTTTTTGCGAAAACAAAAAAATATCTGAGAATGTTTATATTTTATCAAAAACTAAAAGCAAAACACTTTGCCAATGCAAGAAGACATTTGGAACCAAAGGAATTTTGGAGTCCATGGTGGCTCTTGAAAATGAGTACTATGAATATTAACAACATGGGGTTGGCTTGGAATCCTATGAAGAAAGCCATTTCCAGAAAGGCACAGTCCTGTATCAGCAACTCTGATAACAGAAGAGAATCCCGGCTCTTATTTTTCTATAAGCACAAGCATAAAGTTACTAGATCTATTTTTCTTTTTATAAGTAACACTAAAAACACATCTAAAAATGAGTTTACTCAATTTCAATATTTTATCCTAAAATAGAATTCACTGTAATATATATTAAAGCAGCCAATGGCTGTTAATTCCCTTGAAGACCTGCATAATTAGAGTCTCCTTTGGACATTTTCATATTACACGAAGTAAATAGATTGGCTGAATGCAGTATAGACAAAACCCATACAATGAAAATAATTTCCTCTACTAACAGGCAAATGGTAATCTCTGGACAATTTCTGCACTGGAAAGGCGATGCTTTTTTTACTGACAAGAGCGAAATGAAGAATTCGATAAGGTAAAGCTCTAGTCAAATGGTTGCTGCACCTCTGCAATTTCTGGCTCCACCTGTGACATGTTTACTTCAATGGTAACAATCCAGGAATACCAACCCTGATGATGACTACCGTGGGGTACCCTGGGAGAAACAAAGTGTCTGTCACTTGAGGCCATGCCCCAAGGAAAGCCTTGTGCTAGTCTGGTGGCTCAGGAGGATTATTATTCTCTTTCTCCTCTGCTTGGTCTCTAGGGTCCAATAATCACTCTGCCTGTCTCACCTCCACTGTACTGAGGACAGCACCCAAGTTCTGGTACATACCAGGCAAGCACTCTACCATGATCAATATCCCTGTCTCCCAAAAGCTACCCTATTTTAAAATGCAGATAGCATCAGTGGATGAACACACCTCACAGATGATCAGTCTGCCAATTCACTCACTCACACACACACATTCACTCACTCTCACTCACACACACACATCCACTCACTCTCACTCACTCACACACACAATGTCGTGCTTGCTGTCAAAGGGTCAAGACTGGAGGAGGCTGGGATACAAAGAGTCTGTTAGAATCTCCAGTAAGCAAGTACACAGGTCTTCCATGGCCTCAAAGCACATGTCCATCAGAATACAGTGTGGCTGGCTGACTGAAGGCAAGGAGCACACACATAAGAAGGACAAAGTGTGTAAAAAGCACACACTTCTCAGACGCTACACCCCGTCTGAGGGAAGGGGTGGGGGCAAATGGCGAAGCGGCTTGCATGGAGAAGAAAGCAGAAGTCAGAATGAGCTATGCCAGAAAGAAGGCTTGAAGAAAAGCACATAAACTAGATCCCAGGCTTCCCTTCTCTCCCAATGATCCTCAGGGCTATGCTTCACCCCCCTCCCCTGCAGTAGTGAGCTGTGCACCAATCACTCAGAATAGGCCCAGCATAGAACCATTTTAGCAGGACCCCTCTAGCAGCATTATGGAGAACAAAATGACAGTGACACAGAGTCTTGGCAGGGAAAATGGATATAAGGAAATGTATGTACAGAGGTCAAAAAGGTTTTACTGCACCCACGAGACAAGTGTCAGTTTTTTCTATAGTGCTCAGCTTTAACATTACACTAAAAAAAAAATATGTATCCCGCATGCAGCTGGGCCTGTGTGTTGTCTTAACTCCCGATGAGGCTGAGGGGGGAGAACAGGAGTCTGAGACCAGCCTGGGCTGCTTAGCTAGACCCATAAGAGTCACCCCCAAACAAATAAATACGAATAAATAAATACACAAACAAGTAAATGAGAATCACACTATCAGCTCTTGGAATTCTTCTACTAAGCAGTAAACACATGAGACTCAAGGGTTAGTATAAAAATGCACTTTACATGAATAGTTTTTGTAGCAATTTTTAAAAAGTATCCTAAAATCAAAATAACACATATTTTACCCATTCTTCTATAGTCAGAAGTGATAGTTATTAATTTCAACTTCAACAAATTAAGAATGTACAGTAAAGTATTTCTTTCCATTAAAAAATGAGAGACTGACCAAACAGATATGCTGCATGCTAGCGCACATCAAAACACTGTAAGTCAAGGCGCCTGCACTGCAGCCATGCACACAAGGGCTCCTGCACCCATTAGGATTGGGGCCTGCTTCTTTCCAGGCTCAGAGAACAGTGCTTCCCAGCAAAACTACCTTTTGTTTCAGAACACAAGGAGCAGGAAGGCCAGCTCCCTGCCTGCTGGGGCATCTTAGTTCAACTACTGTATGTATATAGTAACTTTTCCAGTGGGAAAGAAGTTACCTGCAGGACAGTCAAGGATGCACTTTGGGACCGCTCTCAATGAAGAAAGCAGAAAAGTGCAGAGCAATCCTACAACTCCATGAACTGCAATGAAGAGTTCCTTGATTCCCTGCAGGATTCTGCAAATCCTTCATTGCAGGCCCTGCAGAGAAAGTGTACTTTTCAGCTGTCTCTAGTGCATGTGCCATGGAGTGATGACATCTTACTTCAAATAAATGATGAGGTATAAAACGTGCTCATACAAACGATGAGTGGTCACCAGAGTGAATGAATTCCCTAGGGAGAATTTGCATTTACACCGGTTTTGTGGTCTTTTCTGACACTAACTAGCTGACTAGAATATAAAGGACATAAAGAAGGATGATGGCCGGGTGGTGGTGGCGCACACCTTTGGTCCCAGCACTCGGGAGGCGGAGGCAAGCGGATCTCTGTGAGTTCAAGACCAGCCTGGTCTAGAAGAGCTAGTTCCAGGACAGCCTCCAAAGCCACAGAGAAACCCTGTCTCAAAAAAACAAAACAAAACAAAAAGGATGATGGTAACTGAATCTGGAAATACTTAAGACACACTAAAATGAAGTCGTAAGAGAGATGATGTCCTGCTCGGTGACCTGCTGAAATGACCATGTAAAACCAACTGTAGCCTAGAGCACGCTACTTTCCAAGTGTTATGTCCTTAATGCTTATGTTCATCCCTCTCAACAAGGGCGGAAAGATAGAGACAGAGACATGAAAAGGGACAGAACATAGACAAGCATGTGAAAGGCAAACAGCACATGAAGTGCTGGCTGGGGGCAGGGAAACTGGGCACTGTGCTTAACCTGGCCTCTGTGGTCACAGGCAAATTACTCCATGTCCATAGGAGAACATGGATTAGCAACTGTCAATACTATAAACTTATAATTTGTTCCCCAAACACAGAGGGCCCAGGGCATTCTTAAATAAGACTATTCCTGCATTTTAAGACATTTCCTAAGGAAATTACAGTATCTTTTCTTCCATAAATAACAGAGAAATCCAAAACACATTTATCATGCAAGTAAATTTCACTAGGAACGTTTGACATAAAGGGCTTTATGAATTTACAGGCATGTTTTTATGAATCCCAGAAAGTGATTATCCAATTCTGTGGTTGTCATGGTGCAGAGCAAACAACATGCAACAACTTGAAAACTTAGACCATGAAAACAAGCTTGGCATTTCCCTCTTGTCTCATGGGAGTTAAAATGAACATGCATGTTAAAAGAATCCCTTACATTTTCGGTTAAGTCCACGGCTGCTCGGTAAACACTGGTTACCTCCCACTGGCAGAGCGAGAAGCTTTCTACATTCCATCACTAACCCTGGCCATTACACATAAGCTTCCTCTATTCTGGGAGCTCATTTAATTTTAAAATGGGATTTTAAAAACCTTTAGCCTCTCCTATCCCACATAACACATCAAGTACATACCTCCACGTGATACCAAAGGTTGGTCTAGGAGAAGGATATGGCCATATGTCCAAGGCAGGTTTTGCATTGTAATTAAAGTAAGGGACTTCCCGGATCCCTCCTTTTCTGGCCAGCTTTTTCAAGTCATCATTAGGCAGCACAAAAATGCTCTTTTTGCTGCTCTTGGTAACGAACTTCCTATAGGATGGCAGGGCTGTTCCCGAACGGGTCTTCTTGGGTCTTGAGAACTTCATTAGTTTCACCTTGTCTCTTGTGGAGTATTCTTTGCTCACTGTCATAGATGTCACCAGTGTGCTTCCTGCAGTGGTTAGGGAGTCTGTCACTGTCGTGGTGACCACGGTTTTGCTCTGCTCCTTTACAGAGATGGTGTCCATACCACTGTCTGGGCAGGGTGTGGAGAGCTTTGTCACCGTGGTAGTGGTAGTTGTGACAGTGGATCTGGCACAATTTTCTGTGGAAGAAACCACAGTTTGCTTGTCCCCCTTTGCTACCTTAATGACAGTTTTTGACTCTGTGGCCACTGTGGATGTCATCGTGGTGACTTCTGTGATGATTGTTTTCCTTTTGGACTCTCCATTGACATTCTCGTCTTTGCTGGAGGGCAGACCATTTTCATCCAGGAAGTCATTACTAAGGTTAGACACCTCTCCACCACTAACAGGAGATGGTGTAACCTTCTTAACCACTGGACTCTCCGTTTCCATGTCTTCCACCTGATTAAACGAGTTACTTTCTGGACAAGGGGCTGGGGGTATGGTTACCTGGGTACTGTCTGTCTCTTTGGTGGACGGTAGGGTATGGAGGCTGTCTTGGTGATTACCTTTGGCATCTGAAGAACTCAGTGAACACAGGTTGGTTTCTGAACTGTTTTGTTCATTGAAATCTTCCATGATAATGTCACCGTTAACGAACGGCTTCACAGCAGATTCTTTAATAGCCAGTGACTTGACATTTCCAGGGATGACTTTATTGATATTATTGACCTTTGGTTCAACAGTACCACTCACAACTTTACCTTCAGAGCTGTCCTTCATGTACTGCCCCTTGAGGTACCCCTTAGCTTTACTATCTTTGCCATTTATTTGAAATTTATTGGCCTTCTGTCCTTTCTTTTCAGACTCTCGATTTTCATTATTCCTTTTGTCGGTGGCATGCTTTAGGCTTATTTGGTCAGTGCATTTGTTAACTGGTCTCTCATCAGGCTTTTGGTGCTGACCTGTTCTTTTACCATTTGCTTCAGTTACCTTACCCTGCAGTTTATCTTCACAATTTTCAGTGGATTTAGGAACTAACTCACATTTTGACGGTTCCACACTCCCCATGCCTTGGTCTGGAGTTATGAGCTGCTCAGAGGCACATTCATTGCTATTCTGAACAATCATCTCTTCTTCACTGCTATCCTGAATATCAGAACTATTTTCCAAAGTGCTATTAGATTCAGAGTCACATCCTGGTTTCCCATCAAAGTCCATTGCTTTTGGGAAGGACCGGGCATCTCTGTCACTGGTACTTTTAGGTACTAATGCAGGTAAAGTACTCTTGGTGCTGCTATCTTCCTGTGGAAGTGGCTTTTTGCTTTTAGACGTCAAAGTGCCAGTATCATCTGCATTGGTTGGTTTAGAGTCATCAATGGAAAAGTCACTTCCTTTTGTTTTAGTCTGACTTAGTTCCAGTCCCTTACCGGCAGGTTCAGGGATACTGGCATCGAGGTCACTTTCAACAGCATGCTGTCTCTGAGAGTTTGGCCCTGAACTCTGAACGCAGACATCATCTGGCACTTGATCTTTTGGACAAAGTTTGTTTGTACTCAGACTAGGTTCACTGAGGCCAAGAACCGAGGAATCACTTTGTGAGCACCCCTGCCCTGAGTCCCCAGGGCTAGCCTGGCTTGGACTAGGGCTTTGTTCCTGTCTAAGCAAGTCACCATGACACCCTTCGCTGGCCTTTGCTGTTACTGCTGATTCAGAGGGGCTTTTAAGAGCGCTTGTGGGGGGCTTGCCTACTCCCTTCACCCCGCTCTCAAGCTTCAACTTTTCAAGCCGCTGCTTCTCTTCCAGTGTGAACTGTCGAATCCGCCTTTCCAGGAGCCCATCCAGCTTAGAGGATTTTGTTTTCTTTTTGTAACTAGTCCTTAGATGGAAGCCCTCACTGACATTGACCACGTCCACTTGCGTGTTCTCCTGACAGTTTAGAGGTGACTCTGATTTCACATGATCATCTACCTCCATTGGTTCTTCCTTGAAGGATCTGTCATTATCAGAATCTAAAACTTCTTTTACATCTGTGAATTAAAGACATGGATAAAAACGTAAGTTTTACTCTGAAGGAACTTTACTCATGAGGAATTCTCAGTTTTAGAAGTATATACTATTGTTATTTTCATATGTATGGGTAGGTCATGGATACTGCTAAACTTTAAATGGGGTTAAAAAAAGAGACATTTCAAATACTGGATGACTGTGATTTTTGGTACCTAAACTGAAGGGATTCCACAGTGGGAAATGACTCGGCTTATGATAGGATATTGAGTACAATATGCCTACAAGTCAGTTATCAACTGTGCTGAGCTAGAGGTATGGTACCCAGCACTGGGGGAGGCAGGCAGAGGCAGGAGTAGCATGAGTTTGAGGACATCTTAGGTCACACAGCAAACTAACTTTTTGGCACATATGCTATCTAATTTCCATGGCTTTAAAACTTCTGTTTATTTATTCCTTACTTTATTTTATTTTTTCCAGATAGGGCTGGTCTGAAACTCAATGGGCATATTAGGCTAGAGTCTGCAATGACTCATTAGACCGAGTGCTAGAATTACAGGTCACTTATTTTTGTTTTTTCATTTGTTAAAAATTTCCTTCCAGTTTTATTAATTTTATAAATACAAGCTTTTTTTTCTTCAATACACTGTAATCTTTAAGAGGACATAAACTTTCGGTGTTTGGGCTGCATGTACATCTGCGAGAGGATGTTGGATCCCCTGGAACAGAAGTTACAGACAGTTGTGAGCCACCACGTAGGTGCTGGAAATCGAACCCAGGTCTTCTGGAAGAGCATCCAGTGCTCTTAACCACTGAGCCATCTCTCCAGCTCCAGTGTTATTAATTTTAAATATTTCAAAATTAGTGTTTGATGCTGGGCAGTGGTAGTGCACATCTTTAATTCCGGCACTGGGGAGGCAGGTGGATCTTAGTGAGTTCGAGGCCAGCCTGGTCTACAGAGTGAGTGTCAGGACAGGCTCCAAAGCTACACAGAGAAACCTTGTCTTAGGGAAAAAAGAAAAAAAAAAAAAATAGTGTTTGATTTTAGCAGAAAAGCCAGATTTTCTGCATGTGTGGAGAAAGGACATGTGATCTATGGAGTATGCCATGGAGTCAGTTAACAGTCAAGCCAGGAACTTTGCTTTGTTTTGTTTTTCTGAACAGAGTCTCACTCTATAGCCCGTGCTAGCCTCAGACTCAAGTCAATCTTCTGCCTCAGTCTCCCATACTAGGATTATAGGTGTGAACTATCATGCCAAGCCTATGTTTTTGTTTCATGCATATATGTTTGTTTAGGTTCCGTAAAAACAGATTGTTATAAAAAAAAAGAGAAGAGAGAAAGAGAGAGAGAGAGAGAGAGAGAGAGAGAGAGAGAGAGAGTCAGAGAGAGTCAGAGAGAGAACAGATAGAGGTAGATCGATGAATTCTTTTTCAATAAGTCTCCATATTATTCTTTGAACTCAGAGCTCACCAACACAGCTAGTCTATCTAGCTGCCAAGGCTCTGGCCTCAAGTGCCGGAATTTTGGGCAGGCCGTCAATGCCCAACTCACACATACATGGACTCTGGGAATACAAGCTATGAGCACCAAGCATATTATCCAATGTGCCATCTCCCCAGTTTATGTTTCTAAAAAAAAGAAAATTTATTTATGTATCTCACTGGCCCTCAAAAGTTTAACTATAGTGTCCCTATAGAATCTAGCAATTCCATTCCTTGGTATACCACTAAGAAGTGAAAATCTGAGCCGGGCATTGGTGGCGCACGCCTTTAATCCCAGCACTCGGGAGGCAGAGGCAGGTGAGGCCAGCCTGATCTACAGGCCATCTATGGCTGTTACACAGAGAAACCCGTTTCAAAAACAAAACAAAACAGAAAACACCACCACCACCACCACCAACAACAAAAAACACCAAAAAAAAAAAAAACCCCTCCAAAAAAAAAAAAAAAAAAAAAAAAAAAAAAAAAAAAAAAAAAAAAAAAAAAAAAAAAGTGAAAATCTGTGTCTACAGAAAGACTTGTGCAGAGAGCTGGTGAGATGGTCACTGTAAAGGCTTTGCTACCAAGTGTGTGTGTATAATGTCCTGCGTTTGATCCCTGGAATCCACAAAACAAATACATAATGTTAAAAAAACAAAAATAAGAGCCAGGCGTTGGGGGTGCACACCTTTAATCCCAGCACTCCAGAGGCAGAGGGAGGAGGATGTTTGTGAGTTCGAGATCTCTGTGAGTTCGAGACCAGCCAGAGCTACAAGAGCTAGTTCCAGGACAGTCTCCAAACCTACAGAGAAACCCTGTCTGGAAAAACCAAAAACCAAAACAAAACTTCAAACAAACATTAGCTAGTTGTGGTGGCACCTTTAATCCTAGCACTCAGGAAGCAGAGGCAGGTGAATCTTTGTATGCTCTGGGCTAGCCTGGTCTACATAGTTGAGTTACAGGCCAATCACAGTTACACCGAGAGTCCCTTTCTCAAAAACACAAGAAAGAAATCCTAAAACTTAAAAGTGTTAATGTTCATCATGTCTATCACAATCCAATCACTCACTGATCAATGACTGGACAGATGAGTTGTGGCCTATCAATACAGTGGAGTATTCTTTGGAATATGCTACAATTCGGATGAACCTTGAAAACACAGTGCTGGATTAAAGGAGGAGAGCAGACTGTCTGACTTCACTTAAATGTCTAAAACAGACAAATCTACCAAGAATAGACTGATGGGCTGGGATCAGAAAGCAACTTCCTTTGCCATGATGAAAATGTTGCCCGATTGTCATAAATGCTGAAAAAGCCTGTGAACATCTAGAGCACTTAGAGCGTGCTGGGGTGAACCACACTCTTCTGGGTGTGGAAGCTGGCCCAGGCACTCCGTCACTCAGCGGCCACACTGACCCTGCTTACCTTGGTCCTTCTTCTCAGACACCCTGGATAGCTCCATTGCACTTCCACCTGCTCCTGCCGCAGCTGCTGCATCCTTTGTCTCCCCTTTCTCGGAATCACATTCTGTCTTAATTTTTTTGGGACTTCGTGGACTTTTTCTTTTATCTGATTCATCCTTATTTTCATCTGTATTATTTTTAGCTAAAAAGAATCACATGTATGGCCATAGACAGTCTTAATATTAGTAGAATATATATATACACATATATATATAACCTTTATTTTTGTTTGTTGAGGCAGGTGTGTAGCTCTGGCTGTCCTGGAACTCACTCTGTAGAGCAGGCTGGCCTCAAACTCACAGAGATCCACCTGCCTCTGCCTCCCAAGTAATGGAATTAAAAACGTGAGTCACCACCTCCCAGTTTACTTTTATCCGCGCGTGCGTGCGTGCGTGCGTGCGTGTGTATGTGTCTTTATGCATATCTGTGTGCAGATGGCCACACAGGTGAGAAGAGGAAATTAAAGCCCCCATAGTTACAGGGGGTTGTGAGCTACTGAATGTGGCTTTGAGGAACCAATCTCTGGTCCTCTACAAAGCACTCTTAACCTCTGAGCCACCATGACAGCACTACAGTCTCCTGATCTAAGAACTGAATACATCTAGTTTAGAGAAAACCACCAACTACTATCCAGTAATTATATTTCATTATTTCTAATTAAAAAACAAAACCAAATGAAGTACCTTAGACATTCTTACATTTAAGTTGCTGTCAAATCCTGAGGAGTGGCAGTCAAGACTGACCACAACAGAAAACAAAAGGGAGATGTTTTTGAGCTCTATGACTCAGAATGCTGGCATCTGTCATTTCCCTTCTTGGTTTGTATGTGTAATAGTATTGAAAATGTCAACTAGTACTGAATATAAGGTCTTGGGATGGGTGGAACTAAAAAACTTCAAATTTTGAAAATAATAATTACATGTTTCAGTACTTCTAAAAATTATTTTCTTTCATTTTTCTTTAACTAAAATCCTACACATCAAAGCCTTATAACAAAAGGTAATTTAAAAGTCTGTAGACTTTCTGGAGCTGGAGAGCTGCTTAGCTGGCTAACAGCACTTGTGGTTTTTGCACAGGACCTGGGTTAAGCTCCCAGCTCCCAGCTGGTGACTCACATCTCTAACTCCAGGTCCAGGGGACAAAATGTCCTCTGTCTGGCTTCTGTGTATACCAGGCATGAACATGTGCTGTACACAGACACATGAAGGCAAACACTCATAAACATACAATGTAAATAATCTTAAATAAAAGAAACTTGAGAACTTGAAAACTAGTAAATCACAAGAGTATTTTCCACATGCTATTAAAAACTCATAAGGATACATTTATCTGGAATAAGGTCAATCGATATACTGTGAGATTCTAAGAAATAACACCAATTAGAAGTGGTCCTATAAACAAACAAACAATCTATCAGCACTGGAAACATTAAAGACTTCATATTAGCTGTACCCCAGACAAGTTGATTACTCACCTCCTTCAAAGGGCTTCCTATAGTTCACATTAGTATTGCCTGGTAATTTGGGAAGAAACCTGTAAACATGTGTTTTACTAATCCAGCTCCAGCCGCCGTAACCTGTCACTCTGTATTCCTCTCCTTTTTGTTTCCAAACCTGGTAGAAATGAAAACACAGTGGTTAAATAAGCACACTTGGTATTAGAAATATCTGCCAAACACAGGCTAAGAATCAGGCAAACTGGGCCAGAGAGATGGCAGAGTGGGTAGGGCGCATGGGCACACCATGACCAATGCCCTGAGTTCCACCCCCAGGACCCACGGTGAAAACAGGAGAACCAACTCCTGCCAATTATGCTGCCACCTCTGTAGGTGTGCGCTCTCACACTCACATAAATAGATAAAAGTACAATAATAAAAGAATCTGGAAAATTAATTAAATTCACCAAATCATTAATTTTCAGTGGGAATCTAAAGATTTATGAAAGAACATAACTCTCCTAATTAAACATAACAATGTTTTTATTTTTATTACTATTTTCAGCAAATTGATCTTAAATTCTAAGAGAAAACCATGCTTACAAAATTAAAATATGTGTTCACACCACCTCTTCAATTCAAGATTGTGACAAAGTAAAGCAGAGTGACTGCGTTTGAAACTACAATAAAACATTCAGAAATGGCGCCCACGGCGTTAGGCACAGTGCCAGTTACCTGATGCTTCACTGGAAACGTGTATTTTACCCACGTGGCCTGCTGCATTGTCTCCTCCTCCTCTTGTTTTTTCTCCTTTTTTTTAACTTTCTCCTTTTCTTCCCTTTCAATTGATGTCATTCTGTGTAATCTGAAAACACACAAGATTTAAAAAAAATTACATTTAATTTTGAAAAACAAAAAAGAGAGTGCTTAGTTAGAACCCTACATCCCAGACACTGCCAACAGACAAAAATCAGTACATGTAGCATTCCCAACACCTCCCCAAGGAAACACTAGTGTTTTATTCTAGTAACATCTCATGCACAAGCCCACACTACAGATACCCATGTAGAGCCCACTCTAAATAGAACTGACAGCACGAAAGCAACTCGGACTACGACTTTTAATCAGCAAAGACAAACAGTTGGAGAACTTGCAAGCCAGATCCCTTTTTCCTAGTAGTGCTGGCGATTAAAGCACAGGTCCTGGGTTTGCTAGGCAAGCACTCCACCACTAAGTTTTCCCATATCATATTTTAAATTAATAAAATTTGGGTGTTGTAGCAAAAGTCCCTCACCTAAGCACATGGAAGGCTAAAGTAGTATCTTGAACCTCAAGTTTGAGGGCACACTGGGCTGGGCTATCCATTGAGATGCTGTCTCAAAGGAAAACAAGGAAGCAAGCACTCTCTCCATCTCCTCCCAAGTACTGAGAAAGCTTTGTGCCCTGTTCTTATTGACCTCAGCATGCAGCTTCATACACTATTCACTAGTGTGACAACTGTGAGCTCCAGGGATCCTTACAAATTGCAAGGGGATGCCTGTTCCCCATATCAGAACTAGGAAGTAAAGCAGGGGCTATAAAAAAGCACAGCAAGATACAGCCTCAGGCACAGGAGAAAGGTGTGACTGTGCCACCACCAGTAGGTTCCACAGTTTCTCTATTTATTCTTGAGGGCCTAGCTCTAGGTCAGATATTGAGCTCTGCTCTGTCACTTTGACAGAGCAGATCACTCTGCTAACAGTGACTAGGGACCCAGCTTGGTTTCTGTCGACAAGCAAACAGATCCTTTTTAACCACCGAATACAAAGGCTTCACTTTGCTTTGATATAGCTCATTGTGATGTGTGCTGAAATCAAATTCTATTGCTCTGGCCACCACCAAAGTCTTTATGGGGCAAAGCAGCAACACAAAGAGATCTGTAGTTCAGTCTTGTCTGTTGGGCAGAAAGCCCTGGACACGACTGATGACCTGGAGACTCAAGAGAGCCCCATCAGGATGGGGCCATGCAGCCCCAACTGTCACCCCACATCTCTCTGGGGGAGGGCAGGGTGAAGAGGGTGACAGATTTTCCTTTCACCTCTCCATGGTCACCTGCCAGTCAGACCATGAGAATGAACTAACTGTCAGCTCCACACCTGATCTGCAGGCAGTGCCCATGACTCTGTGCTGTGGTATTACTGCAGAGATACAACATACACTGTGTGTCTTTCAAGATGAACATGAGGAGTAGCCCTCCAGAGTCCTCCTCAGTGACGGGATGACAGTTCCTGTACTTGAAATGCTGATGAAAGAAAGGAGCAAAAGGCACACCCGGGCCTGTCCATCGATCACAAACCCATAGGCTGCCCCATACCTTGTGAGCTGAGTATCACACTAGCCAGACTGGGAGGGAAACAAGCCATTCCACTGCTTTCTAATTAGGAGAGAAGTCACCACTCTCTGTGTCTACTAGCCTTTCACATGTACTTCCTGCACAATGCCTGTCCGGCGCCTTTGTCTCACTTGTACTGGACTATTAGTCCTCTTCCTTTATAAAAGGTCTTTGTCAATTGAGGACATTTTCCATCTGTGGTGCAAATATTTTCCCTCAATTTGCCATTTCTCTTTTGAGTTTGATTACAATAATGGTTTTTCCACTTAGAATTTTAAATATATGTGTCCAATTTCCTCCTCCATGGCACCTGGGTTTTTTAATCTGTTTAAAAAGAAAAGTATCAGAACAAAAATATAAATTAATTCATGTTTTGTCTTTCTCCTATTAGCACTGTGGGTTTGTTTAGTTTTGAGTTTTAATCTTGATCAACTTGAGGCCATCCTCTTTGCTCAATGACATGCAGTATCCACGGCAGAGCTGCCAAGTGTCTTAGGCTTATTTGAGGACACCCTGAGTGCACTGTCTGCGGCTTTCTGACCAGGAAGTGTTCTGACAGTTTCAAATGTATTTGTAGTTATATATAGCTCATGCTGGCCCCCACCCTCTACTATGTAAGAAATGAAATTAAAAGTATCTATTCTTTAAATGAATATTTATTTTATTGTTTACCTATCTAATTTGTAGGTATGAGAGCCTGCATGAGTTTATGTGTACCCTCGTTTGTAGGGGCCCATAGAGAACAGAAGAATATACCAGATCCCCTGGTACTGGAGTTCTAGATGGTTGTTAGTCACCACCTGAGTGCTGGGAACTGAACTCAGTGCTCTTAACCCCTGAACCATATCTTCAAACCCTGTTTTGTTGTTGTTTGTTTCCTGAGATAAGATCTCACATAGCCTACAATGGTCTCAAGCTTCAAGCTAAGACTGCCCTTGTATTGATCCACATGTCTCCACATCCCAAGTGCTAAGACTGAAAGCATGTGCCACCTTGCCTGGCTTGTTACTTTCTGAGCTAGGAGCTTACTAAGCTTAGGTCATCAGGCTTGGCAGGACCCAAGATTTTAACAGTACTTTAAGTGTGTGTGTGTGTGTGTGTGTGTGTGTGTGTGTGTGTGTGTGTGTGTGTGGTGAGTGCCTGTATGGGGGGACATAAGGGTGAGTTCTCAGACCTCATCAGAGAAGTATGTTTGTGCAGTGATAAGGGCAGTTAACTCAGATATTCACAGCTGATCACAGAGAGCAAATGTCTGACAATTGCGCAGTCACAAAAGGAATATCTGTATCACTTCACATCCCCTAGGGATCAGGACCCATCACTAAAGAGGGGAAGAAAGACTAAGTTCCAGAGTTTGGGGAGGACTAAACCAGAAAACTGTCTTTAAGGCACAGCAAGACTCTGCACTGCTTTAACTACAGCAGTGATGACTAGCAACACTTCAGCAGGGAGACTTTCTGGCCTTCTCCCCCGAATCCCCAACACAAGACCCAGACAGGGTCTTACCATGTAGCCTTCACTGGCCTGAATCTTGCTATGTAGATCAGGATGGCCTCAAATTCACAGAACTGTACCTACCTCCACCCCAACAGGCACAGAGAGGTGAGCACCACTACACCCAGCTCAGCTTGTCCTTCGAATTCACAGTTTCATTACTGTTTTTTCTATATAAAACTTTCAATTATATTACCAATTCTATCCCCCAAAATCCAACTATATATGAGTGAAATTTTATAGTAACAGGACAAAAACTGACACCATCAAGAAACTCACTCTTCTTGTCATTTGCTTTTTGTTTTGTGTGTGTGTGTGTGTGTGTGGGTGTGTGTGTGTGTGTGTGTGTGTGTGTGTGTGTGTGTGTGTGTGTGTGTATGTTGGGGGGGGGTGTGATTCCAAGAAAGGCTTTCTCTGTGTAGCCCTGGCTGTCCTCTAACTTGCTCTGTAGACCAGCCTGGTCTCAAACTCAAAGATTCACCTGCCTCTGCCTCCTGAGTGTTGGGATTAAAGGTGTGTACTACCAACTGCTTGGCACTTTTTTGGTCTTAATTGCTTGGTTTGGGGACATTCTTGTTCTGTATCCCAGGTCTCAAACAAACTCAAGGTGACTCTGCTGCCTGTACTTCCCCAAGTACTACCATTGCAGATGTGAGCCACTATACTTAGCTTTAAAGATATGTTAAATAAATAAATAAATAAATAAAGCATGTTTAAAGGGAAGGAAAATACACTCCTATTTTAAAAGCTAGTGGATTATACCATTTGAATGAAGAGTAGGAGGGCAGATAGTGTGCAACGCTTTTGATAGTTCATCATTTTGTTTAGACAGTATCCTGCAACTTGTGATCCTCTTACCTCAGCCTCAGTGCTGGAATTAAAGGAATGTGCAACCATACCTCACACACACACACTCTCTCTCTCTCTCTCTCTCTCTCTCTCTCTCTCTCTCTCTCTCTCTCTCTCTCTCTCTCTCCTGGGAACAAAACCCAAATCAAAAGTCTTGTGCATATAGCCCAGTCCTTATAATAATTTTAAAATATAATTCTATTTTTATTTATTTTCTAAGGTGTGTGTGTCTGTGGACACAGGTATGCTTGGGCATGCACATACATCTGGAGGCCAGAGGTGGAAACAAGGCATCTTAACACCTTTCTTATTTAAAGGAAAGGGCCTTTCAATGGATCACTGTTTCAGCTAGCCTGGCTGGTCAGAGAGCCTTCATGATGGGTCTATTTCCTAAATATCTGGTCCCAGCAATGGGCTGGAAGGCGTGTGCCATCTCAGCTAGAAGTGTGCTGCTGGGAGGTGAACAGGGTCTGCAAAGGCAGCGAGTGCTCTTGGGTGTGCTTCTACTGCCTGCTCAAGTACACAGCTTGGAGTCTATTTGGTAGCTAGGTGATCTTTGGCCAGACTCTCAAGTCTACAGAGAGAAATAAGCCTGATCCTTAGCACAGTGTTGGGAACATTGTAGAACAAATGCTTTGAAACTGTGACTCAGCAGTTAAGAGAAATGGCTGCTCTTAACCACTGAGCCATCTCTCCAGCCCCATAAATAAAAATTTAATAATAAAAAATATATTTGACCTCATTTCATCTTCATTACAGTCTTGAATCCTGGGAATTAATGGAGATTGGGCAGAGATAGACTTTACTGTGGCCCCCTGTGACCCCCCGCTGGGCTTTTCCATCATTATTAATGAATGATGTAGCATTCAGAAGTATCCAATACTCATCAATCCCAAGACTTAGAATTTACTCACCTGGTGTGTCCTAAAGACTCCCGCCATATTGGCAGCATCACAACTGGCTTAACTGCACACTCCAAAATTGCAAGAGCCAATGCAAACTCTCTGGGTTTACTACACATCTGAACGGCCTTGATCCAATTAGCCCTGCATTTCAGAAGGAAGAAACCATTGTTTTGAACTGAAAACACAATAGCCATAGTCCAGCATGATTCAGTTGTATAGCTCAGATGAAAAGGGGTTCTTTCTGTGTGGCAGGAGTGCACACAGGCACACTACCCTGAGGGCATCCAGCTCAGAGAACCGGAGATTTTATACACCAGGAGCGACTCAGGCATCACTGAGTCCTCTCAACTCCTTGACCTACAATATTCTTGACTCCAGGGATAAAATTCTGATGACTCAAAGTTATCCAAGGATGGGTTTTAGTTTAACCAGCATGTTCGCAGCAACAAGTGAACCCGAGCGTCCTCACCTGTGGGAAGCCCAGTTGGGATGAAGGAAGGAGGACGGGATGTTGCTTTCGAGCTGCGTGATGGTGAGCCTCAGCGTGGATATGGTAAGGACTTTGGACCCGTGAACAGATCCATTCCACTTGAACTCCCCGGCTGGAGTGAGGCAGAATTTGTGTGCAAGGTGCCGCCTCTTGTCATGGTCCTCCCGGTGCTGGTGCTTGTTGAGGGCAAAGGAGTTGGTGGAGAACTGGTTGTGGTAGACGCGGTACTTCCCCTCCTGCCCCAGCTTGAAATAGTTGTTGATGCTCCCTTTCATGACCACCTCCTTTTTGGTGCTCAGCCGCGAAACTTCTCCTTGGGAGTTAACCACCAACACCTGAGGAAAAAACAAAGACGCCATTATTTGTATAATCATTCCAGACAAGAGACATTTTATGACTAAAGGGTTGAAGTTTAGACCATGGTGTGATTTAAAAAAAAGAAAAGAAGTTAGATTTAAAGTGAAGTTGGAACTGGCCTACAGCGCAAACAGTCAGGACGGAAGGGTATGAATTCAAGTCTAAGCCAGGGCTGCATAGCAAGACTGTCTCAGGGCAGGGGACAGTTAGGAGGGACACTTGCCAACAAGTCTGGTGATACAACTTTAATCCCTGGATACCACAAAAGGGTGGAACAAAAGAACTCCACAAAGTTGTCTTTTGACACCACCTCATTAATCTGGGCGTTTGTGTACACACACATATTTCCGAGTTCAAGGCCAGCCTGGTCTACAAAGGGCTACACAGAGAAACCCTGTCTTGAAAAACCAACAAAATAAAAGTGAAAGCTTCTCATTTATAACTAAATAAGGAAGACATGACTGCAGAAAAGGAGTGGCCTTGCTTATGAATCTCAGATACATACTATCCTATTTATCAAAATAGGAGGGCACCAGACCCACTAACCCCTAAAAAATAAATGGCCAAAAACTCTCTACTACTGCTCTTTTCATTATTCTAACTTTATTTGCTATAGGTCCTGGGGTCTTTAGAATAATGTTTCCAAAAAGCTGGGCTCAATCTTTCAGTGGACCATAAAAATCAATACTGGCTGTTTATTTTTCTCCACTAATGTAGAGGTAATGGGTGGGGGTTGTCAGGGGTTTAGACAGGGTCTTGCTACACAGCCTGAGTTGGCCTGGTACTCAACTTGCCTCAAACTGGCTACATTCTTCCCTGCTGCAGCCTCCTAATGGTTCACTCCTGCTCAGCTATCCAATAACTAATCATCTGAGAGACACAGCTGTCAACATTCTGTGCCCACAGCTGGAATCGAGTAGAGCTACTCATTGTCAGTTTTGATCCTGCTGATCAGTCAAGGCTACTGCAGACAGTTCACGCTGCTCTACCAAGAGCTATGAGCAACAATGGTTCTTCCAAAGTGGTCACAAGAAATGGGCTACAGGTGGTCATGGTGGCACACGCCTTTAATCCCAGCATTCTGGAGGTAGAGGTAGTTAGATCTCTGTAAGTTCGAGGCCAGCCTAGTTTAAAAAGCAAGGTCCAGGACAGGATCCAAAGCTACAGAGAAACCCTATCTAGGACCCCCCATCAAAAAAAAAGGAGAGAGGAAAAAAAAAAAAAAAAAACACCACCAACAAAGAATTGTTTGTAATAAAGCTGACTTTAACATTATCTGCCCAATAAATAAATTTCCAATAAATAAACTAAATTTGGGTGCATAAATTTATCTGCCAAAATACAAGACCAACTGTTTTTGTTTAAAATTTCCTGTCCCTTTTTTTTTTTTTTTAAGATTTCAGGGTACAATCCAATTCTAATTATCTGTTTAATGTGTGTCTGACTATGGGCGTTGGCACATGAGTGCAGGTGCCCTTGGAGGCCACAGGCATCAGCTTCCTTGGAGCTGGGGTTACCAGTTGAGAGGTAAGCACTGAAGAGCAGCTGGTGTTCTTAACCTTGGAGCTATCTCTGCTGTCTACAACTCTAATTTTTCACAGTGCACAGAGCTCTGTTTTAGACAGAACGCACCTCTTTGCCCTCCTTAAACAACTTATTTGCTTCGTGGGCCGCAGCTGCCACCTGCTGGCTCTTCAGCTGACTAAGTTTGCTGTCTGGGTTCCGCAGTCTGGTGATGATGCGAGTGGAGCCAGACGTTCCTCTCCCAGCTCCAGGGGACTCAGCCATCTCTCCGTTAGACTTCTCCACTCTGAAGTCACCTATTATCAAATGGAAATGCCACAAAGTGATTGCTGACAGGAAGTAAGAATGCCTCATTTATCCAACACTTCCATGCCATATATATCTAAAGTCCAAGAGAACCAAGCAGATTAAGTCCTTTCATAGGCAAAGCAAACGTCATCAGTTTCCTCAACAGCAAACATCAAAAAACAAAAATACTATGATTCATTCATTATTTTACAGAAAACAGTGTTACCTGTTTTGAAACTCATCTACTGGAGAGGAGGAGCCTCCGCAAACTTGCAAATAACAAATGTAACAATTCAAATGCATACAAAAATGTTGCCTTGCATATCTAATATGGATTTGTATATTAAAAGAATATTTAATTTTATAAAGATTTCCCACTTAAGTAGTAATAGTGTTGAATTTTACACTAATTTTCTCTAAAAATTACATAATTATCTGTGAAAACTCATTACAATGATTATTTTTAACACAGTTACGATCTCTCGGCATCTGTTTTATAACTTCATTCTTAAGTGACCTGCTTTCATTGTGCACAAATCCCACATGGGCTAATGCGCACACATTTGAGCCATTCATCATAGGATCTCACAGGGGATAATGAACATACATACCCAGCCATTCGTCACTGTACTTTTCCACTCGACAGAAAATTGAACAAGACCTGATTTTTAATTTAAAGCTTAAAAAAATTTGAACAGTGTAGCATTGGTAAATCCAAGGACAGGAATTAATTGTTTTATATATATGGTGGTATTTTAGGCAAGTACAGACAGATGCAAATGGGGAAACTAGCTGTTCATTTCAGGGGATTTTTTAATATTAGTTGGGTCAATCTTTTCCCTACCTGCCCTTCTCTCTGGAGGAGGATGTGCTGCCCAATTTAATTGTATAACAACAACAGGGTTACAGATCAAGGGCCCTGCCTTTGGAAGCAGGACATAATTAGAACACTCCACCATCCCACCAGGCAACTCACTCTCCAGTCAGTCATCACTGAAAGGTTCAGCATTACGCTGGCCTGCCCCTGTTACCTGGCGGAATCCACTCAGGCAGAACTCTGGTCAGCCCAGGGTTCCATGTGAACTAAGTCTGCACGCAGATGTAGAGGACCCCTTTAAAAGACAGGCCCCTGCCCATTTACGGGCTCTCTGCCCCTCTGCTCTTCTCTTACGCTCCCTCTGCCTCTCTACGGCGACCAGCCATGGGGGTCAGCCATTAACCCAGTTCCTCTTCTCTCTTAATCTCCCTACTCTGCCTGGCCTATAATAAACTGGTTAATAGGTCTCTTAGTCTCATGCCTCATCCTGCGCCTTCTTCATTTCTAGTTTAAGCAAAAATCTAACAATCACCCTATTCCATTTTTTAGCTTTTAAATCTGGTTTCTTGGCTTTCTCTTTTTCCTTGGGACTAAACCAAGAGCCTTGCATGTGCTGAGCACATGTTCTAGCCTCCGGGTAAACCTTTGCCTTATCATACCGTCTGGTATTTCCATTAGCAGGAAGGGTGTGAATTAGAGGCTGTAACTTGTACCTCTATGGCAGAAAGACCACTGCTTACGGGGGAACAAAAGTCCCCCAATGCTCCGGAGCAGACATGAGAAGAGGAAATGTTGAGGAAGATGTCTGACTAACCTTGTTTAGCTTCCTAAACCTGACAGTGCCCCTGAGGCTTTCACCAGCCTTACATGTTCCTGCCAAGGCCACTAACGAAATTTCATGTATGTTTTAAGCAAGGCAGATTTCTGACGATAGCAATAAATCCTAAGTAATCTAGCAAGTATTTTAAGACTTGGTCTACAAAACATGCCACTGAGTCAATCAGGATAGATCAAGGGCTGAGTATCTTGCCACACCAGGCTGGAAAGCCAGACACTGCTACTTTCTCTTAAGACTCTCCGTGCTCTGGAGCTCTAACCCCAAGGCGCTCAACTCTTGGGACCACTAATTACACCTTGTAACAGACTTTATAATGCTGTCTGGGTTTAGGTTGCACTTGCTAAAAACAGAAGGAATAGCAAGAGCTTTCTGAAAGGAGCCCCTCAGTGTACAGCTGCAATTCAATGCAGAAATTACCTTTGCGCATTTGCTAGTTTAGCAAAAAACAAAAGCAAGGAGCAACCTCATTCTGCAAGGGTCAGAGCTAAAGACCCAGGGCGAGGAGGAAAGGTCCTCATGGAACACACTCTACCCAAGGCCACTCTGCTGCCATTAAGAAGTCAATTTCAAAAGGCAGCCTGGTGGCAAAATAGACATCTGCTCTCAATCAGCCCCTCTAGCAAGTATAGGCAGGCTACTGGCCCACCACACAAAGTGAGGAAGCCTGAGGTGCTAGTGGGAATTCCTACAAATTTGTAAGGGAATGTTAAACTGACATGGGGAGTGAGGGTAGGGAACTGTCCAACTCTGCCAAATTGCTGTGTATGGTTGTTCAGCTAACAGCAATTCCTAAAAACCCATACTGTGTAATTCATTCTGTTGTGGCAGCAGAATGGCCCCAGAAGAACTTGTCACAGGCTTCTCTCTTCCCATTTGTTGTTGACATCCCAAATCTACCAAAATAGAACCACCACTTTCAGGACAATAATGTTTAAAACAGCTAAATTCAGAATTTCATATGGGTTATGAAGTTAAGACAAGACATACTCAAACCTGTCAAACTTAGTACACAGCACACAGAAATCTTAGATGGGACCTAAGACATAATGACAGTTGTTGGGTGCAATTGTGGGCCAAGAGTTTTTTTGAAATTTTCAGGTGAGGGTGAGATCTATGCACCATGTTAGACAGAGGCATTGTGAACTGGATATGGGAACAGGCGTGAGTGACAATGCTATGCTGAGCTCCCAAAGGCTACAACTGCAGCTATCGGCTTGGTCTATCTTTGAAACAGCCCTTGCTCTTTGGAAAATCATTCCTACCCCATTTCAATCATACACTTTTGTTGGAGCCATCAATAATACCTTGCCTGCCCTGGCCACAGGTGTGGAACAATATGATCCAAGATAAGCCACTCAAATTCCTTCCTCAAAGACTTTTGATTTGGAGCAGGAGTAGGGGCTTTGCCTTTGGGCCAGACCTTGGAAAGACATGGAAACAAATTGCTGGTGCCATCTTACCTGCAACTTGGAAAAAGCCTGTCTGTATTAGGAGAGAATGAAATTATCACACAAATTGTAGTTGGTTCAAGGGGGGGGGGGGAACGACAAAGCAGTTGTTATACCACTCACTGGGTCCACTTGGACTTCCCAATTATATAAGCCAACAAAATTCCCTCTACATTTAAACTATTTTAAGATGCTTTGTCCACTTACAATGGAAAACGTCCTAAGCAAAACACATCTCCAACCTTATGTCATATTTGAAATTATATTCAAGGTAAGTTTAAAACAGTGCTATACAGTTATGAGAAATTATTGTAAATATATTTCTTTTCTTGTGATCATCTTCCTTAAAAACAAAAAAAACACACATACACAACATACAGAAAAACCCTGCAGAAAGAGATGAAGTTTAATGACATAAAAATGTAAAACTTTCAGACGGTGGAGAATTAAGCACAAGAAAGTAATATATAAGCACATATATGAAGCAGATATGAATGACCATAAGACAATCCTGAAAATATCAAAATCCCATAGGAAAAAGTGAGCAAAAACGGAATCATCAAAACACAGAATATTAAACACATGAAAAGGAGCAACCACATTCATAAGAGGAGATATGCAATATTTCCCATGAAATACCTTCTTACCACTGGCAAGAAAGATACATGGTGTTAAATTTTATCAAACAGGGAAACATCAAGTATGGAAGTTAGGAAGGTTGTCCCCTTTGGTGAGTAACTAAGCAGTAGCCACTATTATCTGTAAAAGGTACCTACCATTGGACCAGCCAGTCATTTCATTCACGGTTCCCTACACTGCCAGAAATACTTGCAGAATAGAATGTGGAGACTGACAGAAAGCACTGCCATGGTGATGGCCAAATACCATGCAGCAGCTCGACAATGCATTCAACTCTAACATGAAGAGTCCCTAGCATGTGTCACTGAGTAGGAAAACAGAAAAAAAAAAAAAAAAAAGATGCAGAATAACGCATGCAGAATGACCCCATTTATGTATTTAAAAAAAAAAAGAAAACCAAAAAAAATTGTAAGCACACAGATATGAACACTATGCTGATGGCGGTCACACAGGAGAACAAAAAGGTTTCTATTTTTCTCTTCTTATAGGGATTTTTTTTTTGTAAAGCAAAAACGGTGATCTCATGTTAATTAAAAAACAAAAACAAAACACTAATTCTTTCCAACCCACTACACTGTTATTTAAAAAATTGAAAATGTTTAAAGAAAAAAGAAGAAAAAAAGAAAAAAGAAAACATCTCCCCTGAGTGGATGAGCGTGCTCTTACCTGTCTCTTCTTGAGCAGAGACAGGTGTGTGGGAGTCTCCCTCTCCAACGTCAGGGTCATCCGCTGCCTTAGCAGAGTCACTCTGGGAAGAGCTGAGCTCCCTGCTGCTGTTACTGCTTCCCAGATCAGGCTGGATGGAGGCAGTGGTAGCGCTAGAGTTACTGCTGTCACATGTCTTGTTAGAGTCTTCTAGAAAAATAAAATATCTGATTTTTACATTGAAGATCACATCAAAATCTAAATGTCAGAAAAGCACTCAATGGTTGGACTTCATCATAATGCTCAAAGGTGGACAGCAGAGCTAACGGTGGAGGGACATGAGGCACACTGAGAGAAGTTGGTAAGTAAGCACCACCCCGCAAGTCCTAGCAAGTCCCTCCCTCCATCCACTCACAGGCTCTTTATCATCATCCAGCGCAAAGCAGCTAACTTCCAACCGTCTAGAGCCAAAGAAAATGCAACCAACACAACGACTACACACAACTCAGGGCACATCAGATACAGACATGGTTTTGCAGAGAAAAACACATAAAACACAAAGCTTATATTCTCAACCCCCAAGGTTTTCTAAGTGTGACTACATTTTCTGGGTAATTTCATACCATCGCTAGCAATTTAGTTCCTTACCAGTACAGAAATTAGTACCAGGGAAAGCTGAAAGCCATGCAAGTTCACAAAGTAAGTCTGCCTGCATTCCTTTGTCACCGACAAGGTACGATATTCACTAAGTAAAAAAACGACTGACATTACGTCACACCAACGACATGAAATACGGTGATGAATGAGGAAACAATGCCCCCTCTAAACGCTTTAGAACTCTGCACCCAATATGATGGTTACCGTATCATATAGAATAGAGAATATAGGAATAATCACAGAGGAATGCAAGTTGCCTTTAAACATAGGGAAATATGACCATTTCATTCAAGCCCAGAGAATGAAAACTGAAGCTACACGGAGAGCTGGGCCCTGTGCTCACATCTGCAATCCAATAGGCTGAGACAGGAAGACTGAGCAGGAGGCTTAGACTCAAACAACTAAACAGAACACAAAGAGCAGCCAGGCAGTGGTGGCGCAGACTTTCAATCCCAGCACTTGGGAGACAGAGGCAGGTGGATCTCTTTGAGTTTGAAGCCAGCCTGGTCTACAGAGCGAGTGCCAGGATAGGTTCCAAAGCTACACAGAGAAAACCTGTCTCGAAAAAAACAAAACAAAACAAAAAATAATGCTGTCGCCGGGCATTGGTGAGCACGCCTTTAATACCAGCACTCGGGAGGCAGAGGCTGTGAGTTCGAGACCAGCCTGGTGTACAAGAGCTAGTTCCAGGACAGGCTCCAAAGCCACAGAGAAACCCTGTCTCAAAAAACCCCCAAAACCATAAATAAATAAATATTGTCTTTCAAAATAACACCACCCAACTTTCAAGTCTAGCCTTCTTTGATCTGAGCCACATGAAATACTTTGGATCTCTGACTGCATCCAATATGATGGTTAACACAGCATGTCCACTTTAATATTCAGGTCCTTTGTTTTTTTTAGGCTAAATCTGTCATTTTCCCTCTTACCAAACTCCCTGAAAGTGATGCTGCTCTCCGTTGAGATGTTATGTCAAGGGGAATCTTGAAAATGGATGCATTTTTAGATTTTACATTTTCCTATCAGGATGGCTCAGCTGGTAAAGCAGTTTCTGTCAAGCTTGGCTGTGAATTCCATCCCCAGGAACCACATGGTAGAGGGAGAAACCAAACTCCCACAGTTGTCCTCCGACCTCCACAATCCACAGTACGGTGTTCTCTGTGCCATGGCACACCTTTCCCCACAGTAAATAAAGACATTTTGATGTTACAATGTTTCTACTCTAGGAGCTGCAGATACAGCTCAGAAGCTTGGAGCACTCACTGCTGTGGAGAGGACCTGAGGCTAGTTCCCTTCCTGGCACCCCGGGCTCCAGAGGATCTGATGCCCTCTTCTGGTCTCCATGGGGACCTGCATTCACATGAATACAGACACCCTCCCCCCCAAAAAAAAACCTTCAAAAAACCTTTTCTGCTATGGAAAATAAATGCCAATCAGAAGGCAGTATAGCTTAGAAATGTTATTAAATATAACGTACATTTCAAAATGATTAAAATATTAATTCAAAAGAAAATATCAACATTAGGATGCACTTGATAAAAATGAACTGAAAGACATTGAGAGAGAGGCTGAGGTAGCTCAGAGGTAAGCACTTGCCTAGCATAAGCTACGGGGTTCAATGTGAGGTGCCACAACACAACACAACACAAACAAGCAAGACAGAAAGGCACTTTCATAGCAAAAAGCCACGAATAAATTTAAACACCTTACAATGAAGGGAAAGAAGACACTTAAATTAGGGCAATGTCACTGTCTTCTACTATACCCAGCAACAAGTGTGTGTGTGTGTGTGTGTGTGTGTGTTCATCAAGCATAAATGAGACATTTGTCAATGTCAAACTCACACTGGGGATATAACTCAGTAGTAGAGTGCTTGCCTCTTGACCACAGGCCCTGGTCCTACACCCATCACCACCCAAAATTAATTAATTAATTATAAAAGTGACCACTGAAAACACTGCAAGCTGCAACCTACAGTCATGAAGAGGGAAACTGAGGCACTAACAGCAAACATGGGAGGCCACCATAGCCTTGACTTCAGAAATCGGACCATCGGAGACCAAAAAAAAAAAAAAAAAAAAAAAAAAAAAAAAAAAGAAAAAAAAAAAAAAAAAAAAAAAAAAAAAAAAAAAAAAAAGAGGCAAAGAAAATAAAAGGGAGGAAATAAGAAAAGACCAGCGGTTAGTAAAAAAAGCCAGAGAAGAGCATGGGTGCAGAGACCAGAGAATAACTTCACAGAGTCAGTTCTCGCCTTTAATTTTATGTAAGTTCTGGAGAATGAGCCACTGGGCCATCTTCACCAGTCCTGACATGATCTCTGGATTAGTTTCTCACTGGCCTGGGATACTGTAAATAGGCCAGACTGACTGGCCAGCCTTCCCAGCACTGAGATTATCTACCATCGCGCCTGACTTACAGATTCTGGGGCAAGGACTCAAGTCCTTTCAAAGGCTGAACTGTCACTCCAGTTCAACATTACTATTATGATTTTAACTGGATTTATTATTGGGGGCTGTGTATCACAGAATACATGTTGAGTTCAGATGACAACTTTCAGGAGCTAGTTATTGCTTTCTACCATAAGTTCCCGGACTTGAACTTAAGTTTGTATGGCAAATGCTTTTACACACTGGGTCATCTCACCAGCCCCCAAGATTATTTTTAATGAAGATAAAATAATCTCGTTACTAGGGACAGATAAGGGCATCAGAGGAAAATATAAGCTAATCTCACTTATGAAAGCAGATGTAAAACCCTAGCCAAAATATTACAAAATTGGATACAGTAATGAAAAATGATCACAACCAAGCTGCACTTAATCAAGGACTATGAATTAGACAAAAGCAACACAGGAAGTTTTGCTTTAGTGAAGACAGCCTTAAGGGGAAAAGATATAATGCTCTCCAGCAAAACAAACACAAACAGAAAGTGTAGAAAGGAAATGACAGGCACTTCATTAAAGAGAAAAAATAAATGACCTGCACACACACACACACACACACACACACACACACACACACACACACACACAGAGTCCCCAGTCATCCGGTAACTACAGGTACAATCCACAATACAATCCTCCCCATACACATGCCAACTGGAAGGTTCTCTCTACTCTTGTACCAAAGGAAAGTACGAATGACAGTGTTGATGCCACTTGATGGCAATGATGTCCTGTAGGCAGAGCTCTCACACTGTTAGGAAAGCTTACACAGCCTTTTGGAGAACCTCAGAGTCTCTACTCACTATGATCACTGGAAACTATTTAAATGGGGAGATGGCACAGCAGTTAAGTAAACTGGTTCTTGCAGAAGAGCCAAGTTTGGTTCTCACCACCCAGGTGATGGCTGACAATGGCCTATAATTTCGGATCTTACACCTTCTTCTGGCCTCTGATTTCACAAAGCACACACAGTACACATACATCTCACAGGCACTTGCATATACACATAAACGTACATAAATCATTAACTGACCATCAACATATGGAAAAGATAAAGTAATTGTGGTACATCGATATAACATAGTGACAACAATGGGGATCTACACAACACTGGGTATTTTGCTCTTACTGGTATTTTAGTAAAAAGAAAAGAATTTTTGAAATCAGATACTAGCTATACATGGTCACCCATGCCTTTAATCCTAGCTCTTGGGAGAGAGAAGTGGACAGATCTCTTTGAGTAAGACCAGCCTGTTCTACGCATACCAAGTTCCAGGCCATGAAGACTACGTAGTAAGTCCTTGCTCAAACAAACAAAATTAGACATTAAAAATTACATTGTATGTATGATTAGCTTTTTTCCTTTTATCTCTTTTTAAAACAAAATCAGAGTCTGGGAAGGCAGCTCAGCAGTTAAGAACACTTTCCCCTCTTACAGAGGACCTGAGTTCAAGTCCCACATCCACATAGTTGCTCACAACCAACTCTAACTCCAGTTCTGAGGACCTGATGTCCTCTTCTGACCTCCTCAGGCACCAGGCACGCTCATGATACAGACATACATGCAGGCCTAGCAGGCATACATACATGAAATAAAATAAATGAAAAAATTAGCTGGGCAGTGGTGGCACACACCTTTAATCCCAGCGCCCTGGCCAGAGCATCTCTCCACCCACTCTGATAGTATTATTGTATCAAAAGGCTTTTTAATCAATAAATGTCATGTTTAAATATATTCTCTAAGTTTAGAGAAGAAAGCGGTCAACCTGGTAGGGTTGACCGCCTCATTCACTCTGGTCATCAACAGTGACAACAAGGATTGGTTCAGGGCTTCACAAAGCACACAGCGCCCTCCCAAGGCACAGAACAGTAACACAATTCCGTGCTGGACAGGTAGGAACAAAGAGAAGCAGAGCCTGAGGAGCTGGCAGAGCATCCTCCAGGAAGTTCAGAAGGGTACTCTAGGTCTACTGCTGTCCACCAGAATGCAGTCATGAGGACTCCACTCTATTTTGGTCATGGATGTATTCCCACCAAAAGTTGAGTCTGAAACTTATTACAATATTAACTACTTGCTAAAAACAAAAATGAAGGCTGGCAAGACAGCTCAGAAGGTAAAGGTACTTGCTGCCAAGCCTGACAAACTGTGTTCAATCCCCAGGAAGGAGAAAACGGACTCCAGCAAGCTGTCCTTGGATCTCTACATCTGCTGTTACATGGGCATGTGTACATGTATACATGCTCACCCACACTAGCCCTCACGGAATAAATAAATGTAAAATAATCTAAAACAGCATACAAAGACTGGAATTTAACCATCTAACCGATCAAACGCAACCACGTTTGATTTAAATACATGTCAGTTATGTCAAACCTGAAGGCTTAGTACATCTAAGATTTACATTAAGAACTAAGCAATCTAAAGGGACAAAGATTTAGCAACAAACACGTGGAAGCCCCCTCCCCATTATTTCAGCAGTAGTACTCAACCTTCAAAACTTTTAACCCCGAATATGTGAAAATGAGAATAAAACTGATCAAAACCTAGAAGAACTCAGTTGTAAAACCAAATTATAGACCTGTGTTCCTTCAGCCCCTGAGGAAACACTCCTGGAAAATATCACCTGTCTCACTGACACCTCTTTCTTCTAAACAATTCTAATTTTAATAAATCAAAATTTCATTCTAGTTTCTACTTCTATGGCTTTGAATTCCAGCAAGTCGAATCCCTATTGGCTCCTCAGGTCGGTGTACCAAATACTTGAGGACTATTGGATATCCAACTGCCAAACCTATAGTTTTCTGGGCTAAATAATTTTTTTTTTTTTAGATTTTTTTGTGTTTTGACGCAGGGTCTCACTCAGAACCCCAACTAGCCTGGAGGTTACTATGCATGGCCCAATTTCCTGCCTGCCTTACCAGCACTGAGCCTACAGGCTGCAGCACCACACCAGCCAACTGCTCTCTGACTCACTGGAGCATAGTTTCCAGATCTCCTACAGCTCAATGAGCCCAGTGCCCGCATTATCACCTGTGTCGGACGTTCTGCTGACAGCTGGGGTTTACACGGAGCCTGTGCGAAACCTAAGGGTTTTCAGCAAAGTTCCAAGCTGGCTGCCCAAATCCTCCACATTACAATCAGAAACCTGGAGGCCCTTAAAAGGGCCTTAAAAGGTTGGATGGCAGCCGGGCGGTGGTGGCGCATGCCTTTAAACCCAGCACTTGGGAGGCAGAGGCAGGCGGATCTCTGTGAGTTCGAGACCAGTCGGGTCTATAAGAGCTAGTTCCAGGACAGCCTCCAAAGCCACAGGGAAACCCTGTCTCAAAAAACCAAAACCCAAAACCCAAAAAAAAAAAAAGGTTGGATGGCATTGATTTATGGGTAGAAGACCTAGAACACATATCTCCTAGACAGCAGTGCTTCCAACACGACCGGCACATCCCAACACAACTAACATACAGCAATAGTAGAACTCAAATTTGAAAACAGCAGTATTTTTATACACACAGAAAAGGACCTTTAAGGATTTCCTCCAACTATGACTTATTTTTTGGTGATATTATTGATGTTTATTGTCTGATTTTAATCTTCTGTAGTAAAAATACCTTTGGATTTCTTGAAAAGCAAAAAGGTCATATTATACATTCTTAGTATGATAACTTACTCCAAGTAAAATTTCCATGCTAAAAAGGTTAAAGTCAGAGTTATCGGTTAACATATCAATGCACCTTGCAAAACTGTTGGTGATGATGGATTCTCTACTAATATTATGATCTGACATGTAGCACTACATGAGCACATGCAAACAGAAAATTAATGTGTTAGTATATACAGAGCCAGAAGGGCCATGTCACTCAACATGGAGACAGACATTACTATGTGAGTAACTCAAATCAAATCTCTGCCAGGTTGGTCTGGTGACCAGGCATACAAATCCATCTAAGAAACACAAGCATGAGGACTAAGAGGGAGTTCCAGGCACTAACTGCAAGACCATCTGCCAAACATCGATGTTAGGTGACAGTTTAGCAATCAGGAATGGCACTGTGAGCAAGCAGCATGAATGAATGCAGACTTTCAGGTTCTAGGTGACATGCAGCTTTTACTGCAAAGGGAAGGGTTCCCCCCATTACAGAGGCATTGGTACACTGCCCTCTGTACCTGGCACATCCGGGGGGAGCTCAGATGCCACCTTCTTCTCTGTCATGTTGCTGCTATCATGGGTTTCTGAGAGACAGCCCTCGGGGCTCCTCCCTTCACAGGGACTAGTCTCTTCTGAAGAAGCATTAGTTGTGTTGTCGCCAAGATTTGCTGGCACAGAGTTACCTCTATCCCCAACTTCTGTTGGCTCTACAGCAAAACGCACAACAAAACTTTAAAGATATGCTTTAAAATTGCTTTTGGACAAGTGGCCACATTCAATCAACTACAAAAAATCATCAATCACCAAAAACACCTGCTTCTCTTTGATGGCCAATTTAAAGCAATTCAGACTCTGGGATAGTTTTGCAACAGGTTTTCCAAAGATAAAGAGTAAGATATTAAGAATGTTTGAGAGTTAATTTTTTTTAAAGAGCATTTTATCACATACCAAAGTATATATTCTGCTATATATTTGTCATCAACAAATTTCAAGGGATGTCAACTTCTTGGGGAGTATAAGTACAACATTATTGCAAATCCATCAATATATAAAACTCATTCCAATGGTTGTAATGTTACAAGGGATTCTCTTAAATATCTTTAGAAATCAAAAATAGCTGTTTGTTATAAAATTTTCCATTTCCATTTTATAAGTAAAATTGGAGGTTTCAAACAAATAATAGCATTAATAAAACATTTCTTTTAAACCAAGTAATTCTTTTACCCTCAGGTTTTCCTTGCCCAGGCTCTTCACCCAAGGCTTTGTCGTCACTGTCCTTCTCAAGAGACTGGTCTTCTGAACCCTCCCTGCTCTTCTCTGCATCTTTGGAGTTGTCATTCTCCACCTCATTCTTATCTTTTTCTGTTTCTTCTGGGCTCTGATCACAATCAATATCTTCTCCTCTTTTGATTCTTAAGGAGTCCAAAATTTCTTCTATAATGAAAAAGAGATAATTGTTTTCTCCCCATAGTCAAATAGAGAGTTACTAACAAATGCCACTTAGGAATTTTAATGTTTGCTGGGCTTGGTGGTGCACACCTTTAATGCAAGCACTCGGGGATCAGAGGCAGGCGCTCAAGTACAAAGCCAGCTTGATCTATATAGCATATTCCAGGATAACCAGGGCTACATAGTGAGACCTTGTCTCAAAAAGCTTAATGACCAATATTTTTAAGTCTTTAAGAAAAAACATTACAAAGGCTAGAGTTCGAGGCCAGCCTGGTCTACATAGGGAGTTCCAGGGCTACTACACAGAAAAACCCTGTCTTGAAAAACAAACAAGCAAACAAACAAACAAAAAAATCTTTAAGGCTACATGTGGTGGTGCTCACCTTTAATTTCTGCACTCAGGAGGGAGAAGCAAGTGAATCTCCAAGAGTTTGAGGGCAGCCTGATCTATACATTGAGCTCCAGGACAACCAGGGCTACAAAGTGAGACCCAGCCTTTAAAAAGATGCCTTTTGGGGAACTCAAGACATCGGTCTAAAAGATGATGTACTAAAAGCTGAGAATACAGAAACAAGAAGTGTGCCCACTTTGATTTTGTGTGGGTGAGAGTAATCTGCCTGAAATGAAGAAAATGTTCTGTAAAGCTGTCTACAGTATGGAAGGAATAGAGTAAAGAGGATACAAATGAGCTAGCAAAGGTAGAACATCCCTAACAGTCTCAATACTCTGATAGCTGAGGCAGGAGGATCATGAGTTCAAGGCTACATAATAAATTGAATCCAGCCTGGGTTACAAACAAGAAGTAAATGATTTTTGTGTGTGTGTGTGGGGGGGGGGGGGGCGCGGACACAGGATGACAGGACAGTGACCAAGGCAAGAAACAAACCACTAAAATGCACAGCACCCAAATTTATGTTAGCATGCACAGGATCACTGTAGAAAAAACGACACGTAGAGTCAAAGCAAAGCAAACATAAGTGGGACATCTTAACACGTTTTCAAGTCTCAGAATATTTTACACAGGAGCCCATCTCAAATTTAACAAGAAAAATCAAGTAACAGCGCCCCCTCACCATTAGCTGCCGCTAGGAAGGATTTGTTGCTGCCCCGGGCTTTATTGGTCAGGTCTTCCGTTATGTCCATGTGCTGGTGCATCTCCTCTCGAGTCTCTTCTAGAATCTTGCACAGTTCTGCTTCCCAGTAGTCTTTGTCTAGACAGTCTATTAATTCTGCAAGCTGGACCTTTGTACTGTAGTACCAGACTTTCTTTTCATTTTCATTTTCTGTGTCTTCTTCTCTGTTATAAAATCAGTGAGGGAACACATTAGACACATGGCACTTGGTGACAAACATCTCCCCAACAAGTTCAACCGTGCAATGTAAAGATTACATGCTCCATTTCTCTTGTTTCATCTAAACAGTCTCTAATTACTTGGATTTCTAAGCTCTTGCTCCCTGAAACAAACAATTTTCAGTATTAGCGAGTAGATAGGTCACTTGCAAACACCTAAACATGTAACAGAGACATGACTTTAACATCCAGAGCCATGCTCCCAGGGCTTGGCCAAGGACCGCTCAGACCTCAAGCACCTCTACTTCAGCAGCATGCTGAGAACCGTAACCCTAAGCCTTCACAAGTCTCAAAGCTTGTGAAACCACAAGACAGCACAGCCACATTGTTTGTTGCAACGTCCAAAAACACTGCACCATGACAGGGGCTTTACTAAGTTCAGGGCCTTGAAGGAATCATCCCAGCTTCAGCAACAGAGTATCATCTATCTCCTCTTTGTTTTTTGGAAGATTTTCTTTTTATTTTATGTGTGTTGCCTATGTGAGTAACTGAACCACATGCAGTGTCCAGGGAGACTAAAGAGGAAGAGGAAACTGGATCCCCTGGAAGCAGAGCTACAGATGGTTGTGAACTGCCAAGTGGATGCTGAGAACTGATCTTGGGTCCTTTCAAAGAGTAGCAAGTGCTCTTAACTGCTCAATCATCTCTCCAGCCCCAATTTAATTTTAAAACAGGGTCACACTCTGTATTCCTGGTTGATCTGGAATTTGCCATGAAGACCAGGCCTGCCTTGAACTCACTGACTCTGGCTCCCAGTGCTGGGGACTGAGGGTGTGTAAGACCACCTGGCTCTTCTCTCTTCTTAAAGACAACCAAAACTCAAATGGGAGGAAACATCTTCCATTCCTGCCAACTCTCCTGAGGTTCCATTACATCTAAGGGAACTGGAAACTTCAATGGAGATGGTCACTAACTGAAAACAAGGCAGATTACCACGTCAAGCCAGGCTTCAAAAAAGTATCCCATAATGCTAGTGGTGCAACATACCTGTTATAATAGCACTTGGGCGGCAGAGCCAGCTTTACATACATACTGTCACAAAAAAACTAAAAACAAGCAAAACACCTGATAAACAAGTCCCTACCCCTCGAAAAAGGGCCATACCGCATGAAGTTTCTTCTCCCATTTAAGAGGAACTCAGGTGTATACATGAGGTACACAAGACTCTGTCTTTTCCTATGTGCTCAATGGGAGCTCTACGAAAAGACCTGGGGGTGGGGAGATGGGTTAGTGGCTAAAGAACCTGACCCACAAAACTGAGTTCAGGCAGGTATGGTGGCCTGCCTGTAACTCTAGCCCAAAAAGTGAAAGGTAGACACAGGGATCCCCGACATGAACTGGCTAATGAGACTAGTAGCTAGCCATATCATTGACTCTGTATTTGACTGAGATGCTACTGCAAAGAGTCAAGGTGACGGAGATCAATGAAGATTCCTGACAACAACCTGAGGCCTCCGTGAGCATGTGCACACACCTACACAACTCTGAGATTCTAGGCCAGGTGTGGTGGGTCTGGGGCCTCTTGTTTGAAGGGAGAAGGGGTGGGGAAGTGGGTACCTAGGGCTTGCTAGCCAGCCCATCTCACCAACCAGCAAGCTCCAAATTCAATGAGAGACCCTAATCTTAAAAAGACAAGGTAGAAAGCAATAGAGGAGGACATCGTACATTCACCTCTAGCCTAACACCAACACAAATATGCACACATACCCACATGGACACACACCCACACACATAATATCTGGGTCTAGGAATGTAAACCAGTACAGAATGCTCAAGGCCTGAGTTCTAGCCCCAAAGTCACTAAGTGGAAATTGGCTCAGAATGGGCTCAGCCTCTTGAGATAGATGGTATGGTGATGACAAACTCCCTCCAACCCATTTATGTGTCTCACTTATACTGGGTGAGGATACAGCCACTGCCATCAGACCACTGTAGGACTTGAAGGTATTAAACAGGGCATCTATTACAGTGACTGGAACACCATTGGTGATCAACAGATGCAACATATTGTTATTACTATTATTAAGGCAGAGGAAATTTAGAGGAATTTCAGAAATGTATCATTAACATTCAGTAATTCTGAAAGGAATACATTAATTATACATCAAGTACCAAAACTTTAAAGAAAAAAAAAGGACAATTTCCCCTCCTTTTGGCATATGTGCAAACATGGAGGCAAGTCTGTGCATCCCTGTGTGTGCAGAGGCCCCACGTGAATACAGGCACTCCCAACTCAATCTGGAGCCCCAGGGATTTTCTTGTCACTGCCCACAGTGCACAGGTTACAGCACAAGAGCAAAGCATGGCTCTGAGGCGCTGAGATCTGAACTCAGGGCAGGGCTTCAGTCTCAGGCAACAAATGTTTCATATTCAGAGTTACTGCCCAGCTCCCACCCACACATTTTTTTCTTTGTCATAAACACAAAACTTTTTGTTGTTGTTTTTCGAGACAGGGTTTCTCTATGAAACAGTACTGGCTGTCCTAGAACTAACTCTGTAGACCAAACTGGCCTTTAACTCGGAGATCTATCTGTCTCTGCCTCCCCAGTGCTGGGATTAAAAGAATGCAGCACCACCTGGCAACACAAAATTTAACAATCTACTCTTCATTTTGCCCCAATAGATACTTTAACTAAGTTCTTCCCTATCCTCCCCTACCCCAAACCAGATGGGTTTTCTCTGTGTAGCCCTGGCTGTCCTAGAACTCATTCTATAGACCAGGCTGCTGAGTACTGGGATTAAATGAGTACTGGGATTTAAGAGGCAAGCACCAGCACCACCACTGCCCAGCCTTTTTGGTTTTTTGTTTGTTTTTTTGTTTGTTTGTTTGTTTAAATATGAGCTCTGCAAAGTTTTATTAAAGAAAAACTTGCCTGGTTTACTTTTCACCAGTCTGTTCTGGCATGTTTCTAGATATCAGAACCACCCCCTGGGGCGATGATAGCCCATGTGTGTGCTCTGTAGTATTTCCCACATACTGTGCCCAATTCACTATTACCACCACTGGAGTGATGGACACCAGTTTTGGCTATCTTGGCATAGTATTCTCTAGTTCAGATTTCCTCATAGCTGGGCAGTTATTGGCAAGGATAACAACTTGGCTTTGCCCTGTCTGATGAGCTTCAGAGTCTGTCTCAGTGCATACTTTCCACTTCTCATAACAAGTTGGCCGCTAGAACTGATCAACTCCAGAGCTTCTGCATTCTTTGCAGCCACCATCTCCCTGCCGTAGGTGCAGGACAGCCCTTAACTAAGAGCAGCCACCAAGATGGCCAGGGAGTGAGTCTCCTGAGTTCTCATGACAAACTAGTATGACAAGGATCTTAATCTAATTCCCAAGGTTAACGACAACAGTCTTCTCAGCAGAAAAATTTATTGAAAGCTCTTAAACAGGACAGGCAGTGGTGGTGCATACCCTTAATCCCAGCACTCAGGAGTCAGACAAGGGTGATCTCTGGGTTTGAGGCCAGCCTGGTCTACAGAACAAGTTCCAGGACAGGCAAGGCTACACCTGGAAACCCTATTTCAGGAGAGAGAAGGGAAAAAAAAAAAAAAAGCTCTCAAACACAATACCATGTTAAAAATTAACAGTGCCAAGTACTTAATGAGCCCCAACTTAGTCAGATGTTATTTTTATTTTCTAAAGTTTCTATCTTAAGGCTTTCTCATTATGAAGACAGCTCAGCAGCTAAGAGCATGTACTGCTCATGCAAAGGACCTGAGTTTGGTTCCAGCACCTACATCAGGCAGCGCACAATTATCTGGTTCTTCTCTAGTTCCAGGGGATCTGATGCCCTCTTCTGGCTTCCATGGGCACTGAAATCCTAGGCACATACTCATACACAAAAACACATATTAAAAATAAATCTTTAGGGGCTGGAGAGATGATGACCAAGTGGTTAAGAGCACCAACTGTTCATGTGGACCCGGGTTCAATTCCCAGAACCCACATGGCAGCTCACAACTGTCTGTAACTCCAGTTTCAGGGGCTCCAACACATGCAGACAAAATACCAATGTACATGAAATAATAATAATAATAATAATTTATAAAAATAAAAACAAGCTGAGCAGTGGTGGCACACATATGTGCCTGTGAGTGTGAGCATGCGTGAAAGAGGGGGGTGGCAGAGAACCTCTGAAGGCCAGAAGGCTGCATCACACCCTCTAGAGCTGGAGTTACAGGAGGCTGTGAGTACCTAGTCTAGGAAGCACACTTGGTCCCTCTGTTAGAGGGGCAGCAAGTGCTCTCAACCACTGTGCATCTCTCCAGCTCCACAGCAAGCTGCACACTACTGAAAGGTTCCCTAACAGCCAACAGGCACCTGGACTCTGTTCTGTCTCTGCAAACTTCCCTCTATAACACATTAACTCACTGCTTCAGGCAGAAATCCTTTCTGCACTCAACTGCTTTTGTAGAGTTGCTTGCTTTTTGAGACAGGGATTCTCTGTGTAGCCCTTGCTGGGCGAGAACTTGCTCAGAGATCCACCTGCTTCTGCCTCCTGAGTCCTGGGATTCAAGGCATGAGCCACCACGTTCACTAAGTTTTTACTTAGGATGAAATTACTCAAACCTGTAGTAACTCCACCAATTAGTTCTGAGTCTGTCTATAGCAGTTTGTGAGACACACCTCACACCTCCTCCGCACAAAGCCTGCACTCACAGCACCCACACTTTGGCTCCGCGCTCTCTTCTCAGGCTGCCCATGCTCAAGCACCTCCCCACTCCTCATCCTCACTCCCTTGGTTATTTCCCCAGGAGAGAAATCTGCTAATCCTCTCTGAAAACAGGGTGCTGGCAACTGTCTTTTATCTTCCTCATCAAAAATACATAATATTCACACTGACTTTGCTCTTATTTGGGGGGGGGGCAGGGAGGAAGCAAAATAAATCTATTACAAATGTAGCAATGAAATACTAACTCTAAGCAGGACAACTGCCACTCCC